TGAACGTTTTCCATTCAAGAGCTGTGAGTGATTTTTACTTGAACAGTTTTGTCTAATTTATTAGAACTGTTCAAGTAAATTAATGAAGACAAAGAATGGGAGGTCTGACATCTGCGCTGTAAAAAAGAAAAAAAGTCCAGATAATGTCAAACCAAGACTTTTCTGCTTTAATTTCACCCCAAAAATGGCCAAATATGAGCCGACCACTAGTGAATGTGCTTAGCAAAAGAGACCTTTGCTATGAACATAGCTGTAACAGAATAATGACATGTGATTAATAAAACGTAACATTAGAATTATACAGAGCTATGAGTAAACACTTCAGAAATGCCACAGACAGTTATTAGAAAATAACAATATCCTTCATGTTTACATGAATACTGACAGGTGGCCTGGCTAACCAACACTTTGACAGGACCTCGTGCTTTATGCATCTAGATTGTCTATTACAACACAAGCATCTTCCATTAACCAGAAATACCCATAACTTGACATTTAAGAAACCGACCACATTTCAACCCAATACAATGTAGCGCTACAAGCCATCCAACTTTGTGAAAGTGGCAAACTTGAAGATCGCACATTGTTATATACATATGACAGCCCGATTCAGAACATTAAACACAATTGGGATGCATTTTAATATGCAGGACTTTACATTAAGGACAGCACGGTATCGTTCAGCATGTGGCTAACAGTTGAGCTACAATGATGTAGCATCTACATCGTGCCTCGTTTAAAGTTAGCTGACTTCACAACCAGTCTGAAGCGCCTGGAAATACAGTATAATGTTGACGAGGTGTCATCGAAAATGTAATGGATGCCATGTGCTCAATAAACAAACGAAAAACTCAAACGCAAGAGTATGAATGAGGTTGAAGACAGGAAGCGATACCGCCCCCAATCAACAGGCCTATTTCACTACATTAGCAACACGACACGACTATTTCAACTTGCTTCAACTCAAGACACTTAATGGGAGCAATTCATACCCTCTTACTGCAAATAATGGAGTGTGATAGACATGCAATATCGGACAGAAATGTCGCCACAAGCGCGGTATGTTCACAGTGAGGGAAAACGTTCGTCGGCTAATGACCGTTATTAAATGAGCACGCGCGCGTGGCCAGGCCGCTGCAGCAGCGCGAGCGAGTGGGCCACACACAAACTCATGGCCGAAAACCTCACACTCAGCGCAAAGCTATACACGCGCCCCTCATGACAGCTTAATATCGTTCGTAAAGCGTGCTTGTGGAGCTCGCCTGTGTGTGAGCTAGCTGACAGAAAGTGAGTGGTTCTGAAATAAGCGCGTGAGGCCTGCAGCCATGCTGCTGATTCAATGAGCTCGCGCGCGCACACCTCACACTCCGAGAGAAAGTACAGCACAGGACAAAACACCCACTCTGAATGATATTATGATGTAAAATGCAACATAAAAAGAGGCCGACGTGTTTTCCTACCTGGTTACTGTGCGAGGCCATGCTCCCGGTGAGATTTCTCCACAATCACAAGATGAATGTTCTCTCGGGGGGAAAAGGGGTGAGGTGAGTTTGTAGTACTTGGTATTACCAATAAACGCCTACTGTGACATGGTTTCCATTTTGCTATGGTTTGTCATTCAGTGGTTTTACTCAGGTTCAGTGCCACTACTCCAGCATATCACGCCGTTTCCCCCACCGTCGCCGCCATCTTTATCTCGCGCCTGTGTGTGTGCTGCCAGTGGCTCGCTCGCGCGCGCACCCTTCTCAACGAGCTCGTGTGCGTGTGCATGCGCCGTTCGTTGACGTCCAACCAGGAGGGTGGGCGCGCCAAAATGACGTACAAATTCAAACTTGCACTAGTTTACTGTAACCATATATATATTTGTAATATTTAATTTAATCAATATTATGTATGCTTTTATCATTAATAAAAAAAGAAAAAACGTGGTTAAACAGAAATCCGACAGAAATGGATATATATATATATATATATATATATATATATATATATATATATACACACATTTTATTCACAAGCAAAAATTATCTAACTCGTAGCCTACTTTTCCACATTTCTTTAATTGATGCATTTCTCAAATCTCTTAGGTTTATTTTATTTTTACATATAGGAAACAAGCTTATAAATCGTACAGAATGATCTTTTTTGAAAATCTAAATTAGCAGAAAGCTTTCTGTGAATATACAGAAATACCGAATATACAGTTTGTACAATATAAAACCATTACACCAAGTCCCAGTAAAACATGGAAACTGGTGTGTGTGTGTGTGTGTGTGTGTGTGTGTGTGTGTGTGTGTGTGTGTGTGTGTGTGTGTGTGTGTGTGTGTGTGTGTGTGTGTGTGTGTGTGTGTGTGTGTGTGTGTGTGTGTGTGTGTGTGTGTGTGTGTGTGTGTGTGTGTGTGTTAATAGGTTGATTGAAATGAACTGTCAGAACAGTTTCACCAAAAATAATCTGACATCCCATTACTATTTGTTTAAACACGTTTTTTTTCTTTTTTTATTAATGATAAAAGCATACATAATATTGATTAAATTAAATTACATATGACAAATATACCCTACATATTAAAAAGTAATGAAAATACCATAAAGATTACACACTGAGGTTTTTAAAGTTGTCCAGGTGGGATTTACAGAAAATTAAAATGCTTAGCACCAATTGTTCAACTCATTAAATTAAACAACACAAATCTTCCAGGTTGACCTAAAAATGAGTTCATGACTGAATAGCTCTGTGGGTGAACAGAAAAAGATGTGCTCAGTTTCATACTCTTCTTTGAAGATAAAGCTAAATACATAATAATAATAATAATAATTGAAATAGCTCAACAAAACAAATGTTTCAAGTGATTTTCCCAAATTCAACTGAAAATGCAAGTTTTAATGACTTCTGCAGTCTCAAAATTATTCAACCCCTTCATGGCAAGCATCTTTAGTATTTAGTAGAACACACTTTTGCTGTTATGACGTGCTGCAAACAAGATGCATAACGATACATCAGCTTCTGGCAGCGTTTCTGAGGAATCTTAGCCCGTTCCTCATGAGCAATGGCCTCCGGTTCAGTAATATTCTTGTGTTTGCGTGCTGCAACTAGTTTTTTATCGATCCACAGAACAGAATCCCACAACTTCTGTGGCTTATTTATATTATTTTGAGCACTTTTCTTGTGCTTTTGGGTAAGTGGTGTACGTCTTGGAGTTATTGCATGTGTACGCGCTTTAATGTGCAAGCTTAAACCTCAGTGCCTATTGTCACCAAGTCTTATTGCAGGTCTTTTGCAGTCACTCAAGGGTTTTTCTGAACCTTCTCAGAAATCTGGTTGAAAAATTTATTTTTCTGCCCTGGTCAGTTAGTGTAACCACTGTTCCTTGAACTTGCAAATTATGCTTCCAACTGTGTATAGGAACAATTAGTGCCTTCTTTTTGTAACCCGTTCCTTGTTTGTGAAGGGTGATGATATCTTTTCTTAACTTTTTGGACCATTCTTTTGACTTTGCCATATATTTGACATGCAGTCAAACGTGACATTCAACAAACCCAACTCAGGCCCCGTTTGCACGAAGGGAAGACGCAGATATTTCCCTGCAGTTTGGCCTCTCATTTACAAGAAAACCCCATTTTTATCACAGAAAACGATTATTTCTAAAAACTCCGGGCAAAGTGGAGATTTCTGAAAACACATTCTGTGTTGCCATGTCAACTGGGAGAAACGGGGTTTTAGGTTCTCTCTTGTCGATTCTGAGGATTCTGATTGGCTTGCATGCTTTATCCTTCTCCCTACACTGCCGCCCATAGGTTTGGCATAGTTATGATGGCGCTCGCGGCGTATTTATGCAAGTTGTGTGCACTATGTTATTACTGAAAACGGAGGGGGGAGGGAATATTTGTTTCTCTAAATACCAGGCTATGTGTAAACGTAGCCTCAGATATTTCATGTGTTCTTGCTCAAGCACACCTGGTGAAACTAATGAAGCCCTTGATTAGTTGCATCAGGTGTGCTTGGGACAACACCTGTTTTGCAGATTTGTGCTGTTGTGACAGATTCTATTCAGGGGGTTGAATAATTTTTTGACTGCAGAAGTCATTAAAAGGTGATTTTTTTTTTAGTTGAATTTGGGGAAAACACTTGAAACATTTGTTATGTTGAGCTTTTTCAATTACTTTTGTTTGATTTGTTCATTGCAAACAGCTAAAAGTCTGTAAATTTAGCCAATAAAACCGATTTGCAATGGGGGCTGAATAATTTCGATTACAACTGTATACACACACATTAGATATTCATTATCATCTATCTATAGTTTTGTTGTATTATTATATTGTGCGCAGAACCTTTGGATATTTTAAAATTGTATGGATTCACTGATCTTTAATAGAGATCAGTGTATGGATTCCCTATTGGATACTGTTGTATTTAAACTTTACCCTGACAAATATTTAGACCCAGTTTTAAAGACAGGGCATAGACCAAACCAGGATTTGGCCTTGGTTTAAATAGGGAATTTAAGTCGCTTTATGTAGTAAAAAAAACCTTACTGGTCTGCATCTTGAAACAAAACATGGCACTGACATATTTGAAGATATGTCAGTGCAAGTTGCTTTCAGTTAAAACAGCTCAATAATGCATTTTAGTCTGGGACTAGATTTACAGTAAGCCTTCTCTGTGAAACTGGAGGATAGCCTAGTTTGAATTTGCATGTTGTTAACGATTAAATTACTGATTTGCATATTCATTCTAATTGAAAGACATAGGCTATTTCAAGCACGTGTTGCTTTAGTAAAATAATAGGCTAAAAACTAATCGCCATTCAAAACTCGAGGGTCCGTCAACCAATGTCGGATAGTAAAGCGATCACCAACAGACTCATTTTGGGCAGGGATTTATGTAATACTTCTTTTGTCACTGTTTTTCGCCTACTATAGTAATGCGATTTCGGAAGGAACCATATTTCAACACACCGTCTCAAGTTAAACACATGACGTCATTATAACGCACCCGTGAGGCGGGGTCAGAGTCAGACAGGTTTCACAGGTGTGAAGCACCGCAATAATAACACCAGAGAACTGAACGAAACTCAGACAAATCACTGCTTATTTCGTTCATTTTTTTTGTAAAAGGTAGGCTCCGGGTGAATTATTTACTTTATTACTGAGTTACATGTAAGATTTTCGTTACCTAATAGGCTAAGGTTTATTTTGGTGATTTGATTCAGGAAATTAGACCATCTTGTTCATACGGAGAGACTAGGTAAAACGTTTACTTTACTTTCCTTTATAGAAGTAATACGATTAAACTGAGCAATATATTTTTAGATCAGACATTGAATAAATATATCAAAGCACCACAACTAGCTCATGAACATCAGTTAATTTATAATGTAACACCGTCCCGATGTCTTGTGTTGGTTTCATTATCCGGGGACTTTATACTCACGTGAACGTGCATCATCAAGTTTAAAACACATGCAACTTGTGAAATAGGCTACTAACAGGGAACGTTGCCACAGCTTTCACTAATGTTTTGCAATATTATGTAAATGTTAAGATTCTTTGTATAATATTTATAGAACGTTCATGTAACATTATTAATAACTTGTATCATATGCGTTCTCATGATGTTGAGAGAAACGTTCTTAGAACAATATTGGAACATCTTTATGATGTTTTTATTTGATTTAGGCCTACTTAATATTCTCATAATGTTAAGAGAAAACGTTCTGAGAACATTTTGGAACATCCTCAAGACGTTATTTGTTGATGCATGTTAATGTTGACCTTCTTGGAATATTACAAATAGATGTTTAGAGAATGTTATATTGTAAGTAAAAACTGAGGTTACTTTGTTGTACTAAGGTGTACTAACATCATAACCTTTGAAATAACATTCTAATCATGACAAGAAACATTTTAGCATTTTAGAAACATTGCAAATCACTGTTCCCACAACGTTTATAGAACATAAATTTGTTATCTGGGTTCTCGTTTCTTAGGCAATGCCAGAATCAAACCGGCATCATCACACAAGGGACAAAGACTACTCTGGTCGAGACAGGAATGATGAAGGGGGACGTGAGCACAGACAGGACAGGAGATCCAGAGAGGACAGAAGAACACCTGATGGAGACGACAGATCACGAAGCCACCGAGAGAAACAAAGAGATGCTGACACACAGAGGGACCCCCGTGTGTACGAGGACACCCGGCATCATAGCCAGGGAGTGTAAGGAATGATTTTGTTGTGCTCATTCTCACCTACAAAAATAGTTATGTTCTGAAACATGCATGACTTTCTGCCCTGATGTTTTAATATTTTCTACAGGCCCAGTTACACTGAGACTTTACCTTCATACTATGAAGACAGTCAATCATATCATCATACAGGGGCCCTTTACACCCTAAAATACATTACAACAAGCAGAGGTAAATTCATTTTTGAACTAATTATGTTTGCTTCAACCTGCTTTGTTTTTTTTCTAACTAGTCATACTGGGCTTTTGCCTGTTATAATAGTGTAAAATTGTGATTTTTAGAGTTTTGTTCATTACGAAATGACTAAAATGTTAGTATGTTTTTATTTACACATTTTACATACACATTTTTGAAAGAATAGGCTTTATGCACAGCTTCACTACTTCCTGAACTTTAGCCAGCTCCTTTGTTTCCTCTCTGCCATTATTGGACAAACTGATTAATCCAGGTGTGCCTGATTATTGTTACTGAGGCCAGGTACACCTGGATTAATCAGTTTGTGAGGAGGAGGCTAAAATTCAGGAAGTAGTGCAGCTGTGCATAAAGCCAATTGTTATGCTCATCAAGGCAGCATTCATTTGATCAAAAATACAGTAAAATAAGTAATATTGAAAAATATGATTACAATTTTACATGTCTAAAATGTAATTTATTCCTGTGATGACAAAGCTGAATTTTCAGCATCATTACTCCAGTCTTCAGTGTCACATGATCCTTCAAAAAATAATTCTAAAATGCTGATTTGATGCTCAAGAAACATTTCCTATTATTATCAATGTTGAAAACAGTTGTGCTCCTTAATACTTTTGTGAAAATCGTGGTCATTTTTCAGGATTCTTTGATGAATAGAAACTTGAAAAGAACAGCATTTATTTGAAATAAGTCTTTTGTAACATTATAAACAGTGTTGGGGAAAGTTCATCATTACCTAAAAAAGTAATTTTTTGGTGTTCATTTTCCTCACCTGGGCTGGGCATGCTTGTTTGTTTTATAATAACAAAAATTTTTTTTTTATATATTTTTGGCAAATGTCAAGGTCCTTTCACACCAAAGGTGAAATGACTCAGGAGAAGAAAGTTCAACACTCTTACTTGATTAATAAAAACAAAAAAGGAAACGTAAATGTTATATTTAAAGGAACACTCCGACTTTTGGGGACTTTAGCCTATTCACCTTATCCCCCAGAGTTAGATAAGTCCATACATACCTTTTTCATCTCCGTGCGTGCTATAAGTCTGTTTGACGCACCCACCGCTAGCCTAGCTTAGCACAAAGACTGGATGTAAATGGTTGCAGCTAGCATACTAATCCAAATAAGTGACAAAATAACGCAAACATTTTCCTATTTACATGTTGTGATTTGTATAGTCACAGAGTGTACAAAAAACAAAGTCACATGAGACACAGACATATTTTAACCGTATAAATACTGGGAACTATATTCTCTGAAGGCGAAGCACTGCTACTTGGGCGGAGTGATAACCGCAGCACCTGAGACGCGCCGTGGTGAGGAGCAGAGAGCGCGTCTCAGGTGCTGCGGTTATCACTCCGCCCAAGTAGCAGTGCTTCGTTGCTGCAACCATTTACATCAAGTCTTTGTGCTAAGCTAGGCTAGCGGTGGGTGCGTCAAACAGACTTATAGCACGCACGGAGATGAAAAAGGTAACGTTTTGTATGGACTTATCTAACTCTGGGGGATAAGGTGAATAACGTTAGGCTAAAGTCGGAGTGTTCCTTTAACCAGTCATTTTTGCTTCTGGTTGAATTGGGTCATCGAAGGTCAGCAGCAAAGACATTGGTTAATAAAGTACGATTAAATGCATAAATTATGTATTATTTAACATTTTAATTACTGCAGTTTTGCTAGTAAATAGTTTGCATTTCACTGTTTTTATTCATATTGAGGAATACTGAATCTGTTTTGTGCAAGTGAGATAAGTGCTCACATTTAGTCTAGAACCACAATAACCATCATGTTCACCCAGCGCACACAACGCCTACTTGTAATGTTACCCCCAACACTGATTATAAATCTCTTTAATGTCACATACTATTAACTTCTTTATTGACCCTAAACAGTATTTCTGAAATACATTTTAATGTGCATGTGTTCATGTCCTGTAGGCATCTGTCAGGCCATGGAATTCTTCTTAAGCTTGTTGATTATCATCTGTGCCGGAGTGAACCATAGTAACTCGGGCCGGTATCGGGATATTGCCAGCTTAGGCGGTCTGTACCAGTACTATTATGGAGGATCCAACGCATTCATTGGAGCAGAGGCGCAGAAGGTCCAGCAGCTCGACGACCAGTTCTACCAACTCAAACTGCCCCCTTACGTCTACAGCATGGCATTGGGCGGGGCATTGATGCTTTACGCTGGTGCCATGCTGGCCCTCGGAGTGTTCCGCATGCCCTACCGTTTCCCCCCTCTGCTGCTGGCTGAAGCCCTGTCGGATGCGCTCATAGGTCTTGGTTTTATTCCCGCTCTCGCTTTCTACTTCATAAAGCTGCAGGAGATCTACAACAACTCCATCTGTAAAGAGAGGGAAGCGATGTACAGCAGCAAAGGTCACCGAGGGTTTGAGTGCAATCTCAATGGGGCAGACATTGCAGGAGGGTTGTTTGGTGTCCTGGGGATTATTATTTTCCCCATCAGTGCAGTGTTGGCCATCAGAGCCTTCAGAAGTGTGCGGAAGATGAAGCGGATGCCGACTGAAGACAACAACCTCTGAGTGTTACGCCATTTCACGAATGTGGGAATCACAGATCTCGCACCCATGTAAATGCTTTGGTTAGTATTTTTACAACGTCTGAAGGATATATATATATTTTTCCATTTTTATGCTTCTTTTTTGCTTTCAATTTTATTATAAAGGACTTTTGCACATTTTTATACTTTTATAAAAAAACACTTGTGCTAGCAATTTGCTGAAAGCCTTTATATATAATGCATTTTAATGTATTAGTTATGCATTGTAATGCACCTATGGTCTCATGAATAGTTGTAACTACGGTTATAATCCTTATCCATTCATTGAACACACATTTAGAAAGTATATTGCATTAAAGCACATGAAAAACAACCAATTTCAGATGCCACAAGGAATCTGCTAATATTATAATTAGTACAGTCAAATCAATTAATCACGATTAATCGCATCTAACATAAGTTTGTGTGTATATAAAGTCATCTTCATTTATATAGCGCTTTTAACAAAGGATTGTTCCAAAGTGGCTTTACAGTGGTAGTGTGTGTATATATATATATATGCATGCATATTTGTGTCTGTGTACACAAACACACTTACATTACATAAACAAACTTACTGTGTGTTAGATGCGATTAATCGATTTGACAGCACTAATTATAATGCATTTTAACTTTGGTTACAATTATTTATGAAACGATAAAATGCATTATAATGCACATTGTGAATACCTTTATTATGCATAAATGCTTTAATTAAAATGTTACCATACTTTTTTTCCCCTCCATATAATCATCAAAGACTCATCTGATTAATCATTTAGAAATAAACAATATATTATGTTAAATTACACAAAATGATTTCTACATTATATACTGCATATTCATTAGTGAATTGTCTATACCTTTGGTGCCAATGAGACTAGACTCACAGTTTGTAATTGAACCTAAAGCTGAATCATTTGTTTTTCTTTTTAAATGTGCATCTAAGGAATATTAAAGTATTTAAAAAAAACAAATGTGCAAATACATCTGATAAAGAACTTCTGTGAGATCAAAGACGCATGTTTCACAGTAAAAATTTTATTGCTACTTGGCTGAAAAGTCAATTAAAAATACAGCTTTCTGCTCAAAACTAAGCATAGCAGCATCTGAAATGAAACGATGAGCCAGCACCCACTCTAAAAATCCCAAGAAGTACAGTCCTAGCTGACAGACAGCTAAAGTGCTCACGTTTAGTCCTTTTACGAAATCAGTAAAACAACTCAAATGGTCTCCTAAACTAAAGACAATTAAATAATTGAACACAATGAAAATATTCAGCAGTGTACTGCATGTTAAAATAGAAACTTAAAAATATAATATACATTATGCTTCAGATATTAAAACAATTTTGTTATAAACAAAAGTTAATATTTTATACAAATAATCACATGATAATATATTCTTTATATTATATATTTATATTCATTTATATAGGGCATGCTTGTCACATTAAATACATTAATAATTAGTCGCTTCAAAGATAGTACCTTGATGGGTGACAGTTTACCATAGAACCCTTAAATGGAGGACCTATAAATTCGCATGAAACGATGAAGTACAAAAATAAACCTCAGCTTCTTGGCATTGAGAGGAAATATTAAAGCATCTCTTAAAAACAAAATGTACATAAATTAGGACAAGATCAAGCTTTGGTCACATGTCAAACAACAGAAACGTCATCTTAACCCTCGTATGTCCAGAACGAACCATGATTATGTGCAAAAAGGTCAATGAAGATGCGTTGTTGCGTAGTTGAGACAAATGCTTTCTTTGTTGAAAATACAGAGGATGAAGCACGTTTCGTCGAGTCACAACTTGGAAAAGCAGGAACATACTGTATTGTTGAATTAGGTGAAGACTTTTACAAATTGAAGTACAAATATGATCACTGTTTCTTGAACACTCCCCCTTCTGTCAATGGTCAGACAAACAGATAGCCCCACCCCCAAGCTCACGCCATTGGTTGAGACTAGTTTCCGTGTCAGGCAAAAGCACAAAGCACACACAGATGTTCTGATAAAAATCCAGAATGTTTACACTTTTTGTGGGAATCAACCTAAATGGATTGCCTATACAGTAATTCAGCTGGGATAGGAGACTTGTGTGATAAAATTGCTTGTGTGATCATATTTTTAATTTCTAAATCACGGCTGTGTTGTAAAATGTTCCTTTTGTTCAGCATAAGTGTTCCTAGAAGAGTTATAAAATCAGAGAAAGTTAAAGAGAATTCAATAATGTGCTGAACCTGAAAAAAAAAAACCCCGCTTTCTTTAACTTTTATGTTCAGTTTGAAATATAAACATGATCGAGATAATGTTCTAGTGCAATGCCCAACTAAGACACCACTAACACACTGGCATACAAATCCTAATCACATAAAAAAAAGAATACTTCATGCTCCATGATAAAATATTAGAACCCCCAAATGTCCTATAAAGTTAAAATATAATAACAAAAAATCCCAATATTTAATGTGAGCGGGGATGTTCTGTGCTTTGTGTTCTTCCTGTAAAGGAACAGTTCACCCTACAATGGAAATTATGCCATAATTTACTAATGTTGTTCCAAACTTGTGACGTTCTTTCTTCTGTTGAACATAGAGGATATTTTGAGAAAAATGTTTGTTGTCCATACAATGGAAGTCAATGGTAACCAAAACTGTTTGGTTACCAACAACATTCTCCAAAAAACATTTATTTTGTGTTCCATGAAAGAAAGTCATGCATAGGTTTGTAACAACATGATGAGGGTGAGTATTGTAATGATTACAGAATTTTTATTTTTGGATGAACCTCTGCCCTTCCATTTAACGAATGAATATAAACCTTATGGCTATTTGAATATAACTGCATTTATTTTGGCTAACTCAGAGTTTCACCTCAGCATGTTTTGGCCAGGAGAACAGATCACAAATGTTTAGGGGATCTAAGGGTATGTTTACACAACAACGATGTACTAAAAATGGAAAAGTTTTTCCTTTTGCGTTTTTCGCGTATCAGACAAAACGATCCCTGTTCACAGGGATCCGTGAAAAAATACACCAAAAAAACTGTATTCTGCTGCCAGGCCAGTAGTTGGCGATGTCACTTTGTAAAGAAACACTACGCGCCTATACTGAACACGTAATACGCATGCGCATGACGTCACGGTTTTCACAAATGCGCGTTTTTGTAGTTTACATGGAGACGATAACAGTATCGTTTTCAAAAAATTGCACTTTGAAACCCTTACGTTTTCCGTTTTTAGTTGAAAACGGTGTCGTGTAAACGGCCCCTAAAATATAACATTTGTCCATGTGGCAAAGCAACTAAGTTAGCTCAGTTGCCTAGGCTGAAGAAACAGATTATTTTCCACAAAAGAGCACTGCCACCCACAGACCTACACGAATTTATGGATTTTCCCAGTCCTATTCTTAATAATTTCAGATTAATAATCTAAATGGACTTGTATGATTGTTGCATATATCATTTTATGTATGATGCAGATATGCATATTGCAGAGCTATAGAGGGTCTAAGATGCTCATAAGCAGCATGATTTGCTGTATCCATTACATTTGTTTGAAAAAAATTACTTTTCTTTTCTGTTTCCTTAAAAGGATAAAGCGCTGCAGGGGATGAAACGGTTCTATAGCTAATAACAGAGTTAGACTAACATCTTTCTAACAAAGCAAGCCGTCAAGTGCTTGAACTCGGCCTCTTAGCACAGTATGAATCAGCATGTTGTGCCTCAATAACCACATCTCTCCTCTCCAACAAACATAAGAAATTACATATTTTAGGGGTTGTAACAGAAAGAATACCTACTTTCTGAAAGAGGCCATAAAATCACAGCCTAATGTTGATTTTATATGCATCTCAACAAATAGCTAAAATGCTATTCTTAAATATGTCTATAGATTCTCTGAGCTATGTACAAAGTGCTTATACAGTGTTAAACTCTTTTACTTTATATGATTGTACAACAATACTTGATGCACTTAAGCATACAGCTCTAAATGATTTAGGGAGTCTAGGTATCAATCTCCAGCAAAATGTACTTGACATTTTTGAACGCGAAAAAAAAAAAGGGGGATCGAAATAGAAACACTAAAGAAATTTGAGGGAAAACCTGCTTTATGACCATTAAAGAAAAAAAAACCTATGAGTCATGCAAGGCTGCAGCATCCATGCCACTGGCTTCAGCTCTCAGTAGCACCCGAGGGACGGATGAAATACTCAAAATAACTTACCTACCTTCAAATACCACTACTACATCTTTTGGCACAAGGGCTACAATTTTAGGCCTGTAGGCAATTAAAATGAACACCAGAAATGACTCTCTAATGCTTGCAGAAAAGTCAATGGCAGTAAAAGGTCGATTCAAAATCTTCTTGGATGTTAAATACCAGGATCCAGATTAGTTACACGGTGGCCTTTTCTCACAGCATATAGCAAACACAAATCGGTATGCAAGTTTGGCACAAAGAGCATTTACCAGCTGACCATGAAGAATATTAAATAAATAAAAAAGAAAAACACTCAAAATGTCTAGCATAATGGAAATAATTGACTAAATGAATATTTTGAATCTCGAGATGAAAAGGCTTAAACATAATATCTGAGCATACAAATGTGCTTAAGCTCATTTTCAAGTTGAAGGTTTCATGGATGATCAGATTCAAGTACTGGATTTTTTAATATCATGCCAATGCTGACAATTTTCTTTTCTTTTTTACGAGATGCGATTTTTACATTTTAAGTGTTGTTTTTGTGTAAAGACAGTTTCTAATTAACTATGAGAGTGCACCTAATAAATTATAAATAGTTTAATAAAACCGAGTGGGCTTCAGATAACAAAACTAAATTTAAAATTAGTTTTAAAACTATTAAAATTAACAGTGGGATTTGCACTTGATTTTCCCTAATTTTAATTCCCTAATTCTTTATTAATTTAATTGATTTATTTGAAAAAGGTTTGAAATGTATTAATGAATCGCAAAAAAATTAAAAATAAAAACTTGCAGGGAAAACCCTGAAAAAAAACTTTGTTGTTTCCAATAAACACCACTAGATGTCTCCTCAAACCACGGGCACAGTGTTTTACTGCACAGAATTCCGTCTTGATACTGCGATTGTGGCAATTACAAACTCAAATGACCCCATATGCAATAATACTTCTTTTTCCTCTGGTCCCCTTATTAAAATAAAACAAAACTCTAACCAGCATGTTTCCTTATACGTACCATGGATGGCTAAAATAGAGCACACACACACCACACAATACATGATATCATATGCCCTGTGCCTCTCATACAAAAAAAAATGTCAGCTGTTCACTTTTTTCCTTGATAATGAGATGAGAAAATATCCCAAACTCACTCAGAACAGCAAAACCACACTACTACAAAGACCCAATGACATTTTCATGGCTCGAGGCTTTATAGTATGAGCTCTGTCATGTAGTCATGGCACACTCGAAACTTCAAGTACAACCCGAGACAGCTCAAGTTATGATTTCAGACAGAGTTATGAGGTCTTTCTGCTCCCCAATTGACCGTAGCCATAAAGGTGTGACAATGCTTCCACTGAGTATTGGATGTACTAAGGAGTAGAGGTTTTTGTCTCCATCTCACGCTGACCTCCAGCACTAGGCTGATTCCCTCTCCAGGTAGATCTGTCAGGGCTCGAACGTTACACGTTGGGTTCATTGTACTCTTCTATCGCGCAGAGTGATCCAGAGACCCCCATGGCTTTGTCTGGGAGATCCCGTATGCATACAAGTGAGGAGATCAGGGGAGGTGGCGAAAGCTCTGGTCTTTTTCAACAATACATCTTTTCACAACAACTACTCTTTTTCCATGAAATGGAGCGGGATGTTACCAGCAGGTCAGATGGGGAAGAGATCCTTTTGACCCTCAGAAATATTCCTCACGGACTTCAAAAGTGCAGATTACTGACTAGTTTCCACAATGGGAAGGTAGAAGAACAAAACTGCACGTACACCAGAACAGTAAAGGCTCTCAGAACCTCAACCATGGTCAAGAGGCACTTTTCTCATCTTTTGGTCTCAGTTTAGCTGATAGTATCTTTCCACCAGAAGGCAAATGTGATCATTGAAGCCTACTTAAGCCTGTGACCTTTGATATAAAGGGCGAATGTCGAAATGAACTCGCGCATGGTGATGAATGAGGTACTCTAGCTCCATGCTGTGGTTTTTGGTCAGGAATAGCCCATGTATTTCCTCAATCAAAGACCTCAATCTTCTTGATTTCATCGGTCGTGACATTTGCACCCATTTCCACCCTTCGGAGGTGGCTACGCCACCGCAGATCAGCTCAGGAATGCACATGCAGGGACCCACACGTGATGACGGTGCTAAATAAGAACTGGAACATCTCGAAGGCAGGAAGTGCGTGCTAGCCTCTTTGATGTGGCACTATGATGCGGAGATGCTCCAACGGTGCGGCCCACTTGCACCCACTATAGAGCCGTGTCATAGACATCCTGTTGCAGGACGGTGGTGGGGTGGAGACCGGGGACGGTGGGGTGAGGATGGTCCCAGTTGGGGTCTCTTGTTGAGGGTGGTGTTGAAGGAGGCGGTGGCCCGGGAACCACAGGGCTCTGGCCTCTCAGCTGCTCCCGCACATCCTGCTCCAGACTAGGCGGTATAATTAACTGGTCTTCTGGGTCTTGCTGGGCTGGTGCGGCAAAATATCCCGATTTCTTTTTGGGGGCCTCGAGTGCTACTTCAATGATGTTGTGGCTATCCTCCAGAGCCACTACCGAGCCATTGGAGAGCTTCTTCCCGAAGAGGCTGGAGGTGGAAGGAGACTTCTTCAGATCCGAGATCTCTCGCCCACATACAGCCAGTAGGCAGCCGTTGGTGGCAGAAACCACAACACTGTTTTGCCGACGCATTTTGCTGTTGGGATAGTCCGAGCCCCTCAAATCATGGCGGCCGTCCAGGTCCTTGGGACTTTCGGGTGGTCCAGAGCGCAGCTGAAAAGCACAGCAGTGAATGTCCACCTCCACCTCTAGCTTACTCCCGTTTGAGATGACACCTTCTAAAGGAGCCTCATCGTCGCTGTCGAGCCCATTGTCTGACTGGTTGCTGGAGAAAGTGGCGCTGGAAGGTTGTCGCTGGAACAGAGCCGGGTGCGCCCCTGGCCCCAGACTCGCCAGCGGCCCCGTGTTACACAAGGTAGCAGCAGGATGAAGACTACAGCGACGCTCGGGACGAGCTGTTGGTCCTGAAGAGGGGTGCTCATCCGAGGCAGTGGACCCAGCCTCGCTGCCCACTTCTGAGGCTGACATCTCGCTGTTGAACTCAGAGGCAATGCCGCTGCTAGATGATGGTGTGGCGGGGTCACCAGGGGAGACAGAGATCGGTAAAGGTGTCGGGGCAGGTGGTCCTCGGGCTTCTGCGGTCAAGAGAGGAGGCTCGCACGTACAGCTGTCTTCTCCGATATGCAAAGCCACCACTACTGCTCCAACATTATCCCGGCACCCATAGCTCTGTGCCAGCGTGCAGAGCTTTTTGGCAGCAGCGCGGGGGTCTCTGACAGCTAACACAGTGCTCACTGCCTCCTGGTAGGAAACCTTCTGGAAGAGTGCTTTGTTTCCTAGGATCAGGAACTCATCCTGGGAACACAAAGGCTCTGTGTGCACCCAGGGTTTGGGAAGGACCCAAGGAAACAGGTAGGAACAGCCAAGTAACCGTGAGCAGCATGTCACCCCACTCACCTTGTTATCCTAAAGCACAAAAGAGCCAAATGATTAAAGACACAAATAAGCTTTTACTTCTCACTTATGAACACATAGATGAAATTAAGCATCAGCCAGTTAACTTACGGGTATGAACTGAGAAAGAGTCAATACCTCAGTGATAATAGCTTTAGCCAGTTTGACACGCTCCATCTCCTCAGCGCTCTGTTCTAGGCTGAAAACTTTCGAGAGTGCAAGAGGTTGCCCACCACGACACAGTACAGCCTGGCAGGTGCCTACGTTGGCCACAGTGAGGCTAAAGTAGCTGCCAGGCTCGGAGGACTCATGATGGATGTAACAAAGTAGAGCAGAGGCACCTAGCTTCTGGCCTGCCATGCCAAGTTTCCTGCAAAAATGCACAACAGCAACAAGAGAAATGCATTTATTATTCATATAACCAAAAATCGAAGGCTGTTTGTGAACTATGGTGTGTTCAAGTCGTATTTACAAGTTCAACACACATGAACAACAAGTCGTAATTACAAGTGGGAAACTTGGGATTTTCTTTGAGTCAAGAGTTTCCAAGTTGGAGACGTGAGACCAAATATGGCAGATCCAATATTTGTGTTGGCTGCAATTTATTAATTTTCAATCAAACTAGCTAAGTTACATGTACAAAATACAATAGTATTGTACACTTACAAAACATACATATTATATATTATAAAATGATTCAGTTTACAGGACTTTCATGAGTTGAATTAAAAAAGGAAAAATACACCTGATGTGCATTCTTCATCGTTTTGTAGAAGTAGAGTTGAAAGAATTTGCTGTATTTTTGTAGAAAAGGTGCATTGCCATTTGCTCCAAACAAAGTCATTTGAACGCACCTGACATTGTAATTACAACTTCCCAAATCGTAAATATGATCTTACCAGGAAGACTTAAACGCATCAGAGCTGTTTAAGTCTTCAATCTTGAAATGTAAAACTGTGTCATTCTAGTATCAATCATGTGAATCATATTTTCATATATTATTCATTTGAATGTACATTACCTACGTTCTGGAAAGCATTACAAAAATAAGGGATACTGTACAGTCAGACATTATTGCAAAGTGGACCCTGACGCAAAGTGGTGGGTCTTGTATGACTACATTATCCCACCATTACATGACTACTTACCAAATAAATAAATGGACATGAAACTAAAATTACTTGTGCGAGAAGAAAGAGATCACAGAGTAACACAAGCAAGTAGCACAGTGTAAGCACAATGGTCGATTATATAGTTCAAAATATCTTTGAATGCAACATATCATGTCTGACCAATCAGAATCAAGTATTCAAGAGAGCTACTGTATATAATAATGTTTGTTCATCACTTAGAAATTGATACTAAGTGACAAGCTATCAGGTGTTATCAATTATTGTACAAGCAAGGTGAAGCATACAAAATGTTTTAATAAAGAAAAGAAAGCTTAGTCAAATCATGCTTAATCAAAAAATATGTGTGCAAAACACACCTATGAGAGGTAAGGAAAGTGTTGCACATGTATACACTATCCACACTGGAGTGCTGTATCTCCTCTGCCAATACATCTCCCATGGTGCATTGCAGTAACCTGGAAACTTCCTCATTACGGTCACCATCAAAAATCCCATAAGCAGCCTCTGGACTGTCCCCGAAGCGATCCACAGCCAGCACAGACACACACAACCTGAAGGTAAAACACAAGATTTCAATGGAACAAATGCTCTTCATGAAAACAACACCCATCACATTACAACCACATTTAATTGACTGGTAATGGATACACCTATATAGGTACATACACAAACTCACTCTACCTGACAAACACACAAAAGTGGCCCCCCTCGGTGGATATAGAGTACAGAAAGAGGATTCGATATTTGAGACTGACTGCTTTGAAACTGTGGAGCTAATGCCCTTCGCAGGGGGAGCCAAGCACACTGATGTCACATTAAACATGTAGAAACAAGATCTTTAAGCCTATGGGAAGCATTGTGCATTTAAACCAGCCCCCCTGCTGCGTCTTGCTTCCTGGTAACGAAATCTTCTGCAAAAACCAACGCTATGATTATTCTGAGAATGCCAGCTATTTTATGCCATCCAAGTATTTATTTGTACGTGAATTAGATGTCTCAAAGACACATTTCTGATATGGCAAAATATCTGGGGCCGGATTCCGGAAAAATAAAAAAAAATCCTGGGGCTGGATTCGTGCAAATTACCATAATAATTATAAGCATGCACACTATTTTTGTTGAGACTGGCTTGGCGGAAGTTCAACAGTCTGCGTCCCTATTTAAAGGGATAGTTCACGCAAAAATGAAAATTCTGTCATCATATACTCACCCTAAAGTTGTTCCAAACCTGTACGAGTTTCTTTCTTCTGTTAATAAAACAAAATATATTTTAAAGAATGGTGGTAATCAAACAGTTGACGGTTGCCATTGACTTCCATAGTAGGAAAAAAATACTATGGAAGTCAATGGGTGCCGTCAACTGTCTGGTTACCAACATTCTTTAAAATATCTACTTTTGTGTTCAACAGAAGAAAGAAACTCATAAATTGAGGGTGAGTAAATTATGACAGAAGTTTCATTTTTGGGTGAACTATCCCTTTAACTCATTTGTTGAATTCCGAAAAAAATCATTTCTTGCAAAATTCTGCTTACTTGTGCACATCCATAGTATATATATGTATTATATATGTAGCTAGTCTTATGTTATAAAGCTTCATATTTGAAATAACCCAATAATTCATTAAACATCTTAACTTTGGGGGGTTCAAGACAAGTTGGAGGTTATGCTAACTGTACAAGTTTTTTTCTTTTCAATAATTTGAATCAAGAACAAAGATAAGAACATCCTTAAGAAGTATTTTTGGGGATACAAACTATTAACTTCTTTCTTGAGTAAAAAAAGTAAGAAAACTTTATAGAAGAATTACAGGAAGAATTATATTCTTAAAGTCCCCCTGTTGTGAAAATCAAGCTTTTAATGTTGTTTATATGTTGTTTTTAATATGCTTTAAGACAAACCATGTGCAAATGCATTGCTGTCATTGCTGAGTATTTTCTCTTTAAAACTGCAGTGAACCAAAGACAGTCTCAAAAAAAGCGGTTTGAAATCGCTGGTGTTTCTGACGTCACAAACTACCTTGTAACCAATCAGGTCAACGTGTGATCGTCAACGAGTGGATCTCTGAGCTGGTGTGAGTGAGTGGAGGCGGGGCTAATTTGCATATTAATAGAACCGCATATACTAAATGAGGCAAGGGTGTAGAGTTACATTCAAGCTATTTTAAGACATGACGTTTTTTTTTTCCAAGGAAAAAGCGTTTAAATATGTAATTTTGATGATCAAAGATGAGTTTTAATGGATAAAATTATTGACTACAGGTGGACTTTAAGAACGTTTCGGCCCCTGATTCTCTCTGGCCAAAAAAAAGCCCACTTGGACAGGAAAGGTTTGTCTGAATGGCACACAAAACAACCAACCTAATTTTTTGTTTTGTTTTGCCGTGACATTTAGGGACTGGATTTGATTAGACCGCAATGAACAAAAAAAAATTAATAATTGTTTGTGCCTTCAGACCCTGAAGTCTCACTGCAGCCAATATATCCTCAATATATAATAGAGAGGATGGCATTCTGGAGCTTCAGACCAGACACACTCATTCTTTCCAAATCTTTGACTCTCATGTCTGCTTGACTCAGATGTTGCTCACTTGTTTCTTTGACCACACATTTCCGCGTAACCATGATCCCAAAGGTTGGACGTGCCCTGTGCGTCTCCTGTTGTCACGGCTGGCTTCTGATCCAGCTTCAATGTACTTATGTGACTGGAAGTGGGAGAGATAAAGACATAGAACAATTATCCACCTGGGTCTGAGTTCATCAGCTGCATAATGAGTGTTTGTAGCACCTCACCTGAAGAGGTTGAGCGTTTTATGCTCCAACATGAGGTTACTGTTGCCGGTCAGGTCCAGCTCTTGCAGTGTGGAAGGCATAGAGTCTGACAACAGGATTTCCGTCTGCTCATTACAGCTCACATCTACCAGCTACACAAAGAGCAGCATACTTCACCAGAAACGTTAAATATAACATAATGTGTGTAACAAACTACACCCCAAAACAAAGAATATTTGGTTGGATTTGGGGACAAAAACAATTACATTTAGCCAGACTTAACGAAGTACTTTTTTTTTTAAATAGTGCCATTTTCACAATTACATATTATAAATATTGAATATATATATATATTATATATTATATATATATATATATATATATATATATATATATATATATATATATATATATATATATATATATATATATATATATATATATATATATATATATATATGTGTGTATATATATATATATATATATATAAACAATTTATAAAAGTATACACTCACCGGCCACTTTATTAGGTACACCTGTCCAACTGCTCGTTAACACTTAATTTCTAAGCAGCCAATCACATGGCGGCAACTCAGTGCATTTAGGCATGTAGACATGGTCAAGACAATCTCCTGCAGTTCAAACCGAGCATCAGTATGGGGAAGAAAGTTGATTTGAGTGACTTTGAACGTGGCATGATTGTTGGTGCCAGAAGGGCTGGTCTGAGTATTTCAGAAACTGCTAATCTACTGGGATTTTCACGCACAACCATCTCTAGGGTTTACAGAGAATGGTCCAAAAAAGAAAAAACATCCAGTGAGCGGCAGTTCTGTGGGCGGAAATGCCTTGTTGATGCCAGAGGTCAGAGGAGAATGGCCAGACTGGTTCGAGCTGATAGAAGGGCAACAGTGACTGAAATAACCACTCGTTACAACCGAGGTATGCAGCAAAGCATTTGTGAAGCCACAACACGCACAACCTTGAGGCGGATGGGCTACAACAGCAGAAGACTCCACCGGGTACCACTCATCTCCACTACAAATAGGAAAAAGAGGCTACAATTTGCAAGAGCTCACCAAAATTGAACAGTTGAAGACTGGAAAAATGTTGCCTGGTCTGATGAGTCTCGATTTCTGTTGAGACATTCAGATGTTAGAGTCAGAATTTGGCGTAAACAGAATGAGAACATGGAACCATCATGCCTTGTTACCACTGTGCAGGCTGGTGGTGGTGGTGTAATGGTGTGGGGGATGTTTTCCTGGCACACTTTAGGCCCCTTAGTGCCAATTGGACATCGTTTAAATGCCACGGCCTACCTGAGCATTGTTTCTGACCATGTCCATCCCTTTATGGCCACCATGTACCCATCCTCTGATGGCTACTTCCACCATGTCACAAAGCTCTAATCATTTCAAATTGGTTTCTTGAACATGACAATGAGTTCACTGTACTAAAATGGCCTCCACAGTCACCAGATCTCAACCCAATAGAGCATCTTTGGGATGTGGTGGAACGGGAGATTCGCATCATGGATGTGCAGCCGACAAATCTGCGGCAACTGTGTGATGCCATCATGTCAATATGGACCAAACTCCCTGAGGAATGCTTCCAGCACCTTGTTGAATCTATGCCACGAAGAATTGAGGCAGTTCTGAAGGCAAAAGGGGGTCCAACCCGTTACTAGCATGGGGTACCTAATAAAGTGGCCGGTGAGTGTAAATCACAATAAATATCAAAATGATACATATTAACCTTAAATATAAAACATAAAACATTACATCTAAATCAATTTAGAGAAATTTAAGTGTAGAAGTTCCGTGAAGCATCACTATTTTTGTTTTTACCATTTCTATGTGGATTTAGCATTTAAATTTTTTTTATATACCCGGTATTACAATAGAAAACAGTTCTTTCAAATTGTAATAATATTTCACAGTTACACTTTATTTTAAGGTGTCTTTGTTACAATGTAATTATACATTTAAGTACCGAGTAATAATAATTGACAACATGTACTTACTATAGGATTAGGATTTGGTTGAGGGTTAGTTGCATGTAATTATGCATAATTTACTGTTATTACTCAATGTAACATATGTAACAAGGACACTGTTATATAAAGTGTTACCTATTTCACAATCAACTAAATGCAGCCTTGGGTAGCATATGTCCAGAGCCCCTAAAGGGACCTTTGCAAAAATAAAAATATACAGACTTTCATGTGCGCACGAGATACTTTTCTCGTGAGCATGTGATAGTTTCTCGTGCGTACGCGAAAGTTTCTCGTGAGCACTTGAAAGTCTGTATATTTTTATTTTTTCAAAGGTCCCTTTAATGCTCCGTACTACATGAGACTTCTTTCAAAAACATTTTTTTTTAAAAATCGTAATTATTCCAAACGTTTGACCGGTAGTGTATGTAAATTGTATACATTTAAATTCTGTTTAAGACTTGCATTTAAAAATTGGATTTTAATATTTTTAAATGTACATAGTTTTATTCAAACATTTTCATATCAACCATAATTTATCTCTATAAACTTTTTTTTGTGACCTAAATTGCAGCAATTTTCTATCCATACATTTAAAATTGGATCTTTTTTATGCTTTCCATTTGTTCCTGCCACCTGTTGACACTGTGGTTGACCCTTTAGATCCTTTACAATATTTATGGCCAGGCTTTCACATGCCCTGGTCGTCATATGTCACCCAAACGCACACTGACCTTGATCTCGGGGAGGTTGAGGACCTCTGGGAACACGCTGATATGGTTGGAGTGGGCGATGAGGGTGTGCAGTCTCTTGCAGCTGGACACAGTGGAGGGGATCGTTTTCAGCTTGTTCCCACTCAGATTCAACTCCTCCAGTACCTCCAGTTTACTGAGTTTGCTGAAAACAGAACAAAGGGTGATTTATACAGATATAATCATTGATCTTTCTTGAATGATGTAGAGGGAAGTATACTAGTTCAAGGTGTCAGTGGAGTATAGGTACCTAGCAGGGAAGGACAGCAGTTGGTTATAAGCCATATGCAAGACCCGCAGGTTCTGATGCCCCACCAGTAGAGCAGCGCAGTTCTCATTCAGGTTGTTTCCTGTGAGATAGAGTTCCTGCAGGGTGCTGAGGCTCTCCTCTGATTGGCTGCTCGGCGGGATTGTCTCCAGTGCATTGGCAGACACATTCAGATACTTTAAACTAGTAGACGAGAAGAAAAAGGAAAGGCAATTTGGTGAATATTGCTTTTTGTTTCATTTAAACAGCAATGTTGATAAAACAAAAAAGCATCTTGGATATAACCAAAGCCTCAGAGCTGCAGTACATCTTTCAGGATTAGAGATGCTTAATGGCTGACAAGTAAATTAACCCACAGGAAATGGAAGAGCTGCGGGCTCTTCTGGCTCATATTACTGTGTCTCATTGAGCCATATCTTCCTTTACACATCCATGAGAGTCTTTGTAGAAGAATGTCAGTTACTTTATGCACAGCACATGAGCCCAACACTGTATAACACAGTATAAGTACGTTACACACAAAAAAATATATATTATTCATTACTCCTTTAAAAAGTAATATTATCCTTTTAAAAGTAATATAAACTTCCTGGCAACAGAAATGTGTTACACTACTAGTTATATTAGTTTTCCATTTCACCCTACACAAGTGGAAATTGTCTATTTTCTCCTCAACATTCTGACTTTGCACATTTGCAAAGTCAGAATGTTGAGGAGAAAATAGACTCTTTGTGAAATAGAGTCTATTTAGAAATAGAAACTAAAATTTTCTAACTAAAATAGAAAATAGACTCTTTGTGAATGTTAGGGTAGCCTATATTTAAATATCCCGCCTTTTTGGCGGAGGCTATTTACACCAACTCCGCCCACTGACATCTGGTTGGGCCAGATAAAATGACGGAAGACTGCATTGCCAACAGTAGCAATAGTGTAGGGGTAAGGCGGCGGGGCAGGACATTTTTACGCAAATCGACCCGAGTTCGAATGCGCCTTTTGCTGAACTCGCTCTACTCCTTTTTCCCCATCACATCTCAGATCGGAAAGGCATTTATTTTCAAAAAAGAGAATTCGAAAGGTGGAAATAAAGTGTCTAACGTGTGTTTAATAATAAAATATTTATTGGTTATGGTTAAGAGTAGGTCTAGGGAGGGCTTTACTGTCCCAATAAGGCGGCATCCATTTAATAATTTTAATAAATATAATCATTCACACTATGTTATTATTGCACACCGTTTAATGTACAACAACACTCTGGTGCAAATTATATCTGCCACTATATTTATAAGTATAAATAGCATCTAACTACTATTTAAACTTATTGCAAAGAAAATACTCCTATTTTTACAGTGTAAATACAATCTATCGCTATCAGCAATTAATGCAAAAAGCCCCTGCCTTAAATCATTTATATCGTATTACTTAAGACAGGATCATAATTTCTATTCATTTTCCACTGAATTATGCAATCTGTTGAGCATATTAGATTCCAGCGCTGTCTCCCTCTGTTTTCACTTCCGCGATTGCTATAATGACTCAAGAGGAAAACCAAATAATTCATAACCCGCCTGTCTCTTCCGATGGCAAACTTCCTCTACACTTACGCGTTCTGTTCCTCGCATACCAAAGGAACGTTTCTAAACATTAAAAAAAATGAAGCGAATAAACATACAATTACGACAGCATATGATTTTCATGTGATTTTCATGTGATTTTCATGTGATTTGGGCAATTTTTATAAGAAAAAAACATGTTTACATGAGAAATGCTAAGCAGGTGTAGCGATTGGCTTAATCTTAAAAGCTACATCTAACATATTTTTGCCTCCTCATATGACCAAAATCCACATTAGATCGCAATCAGAATCACAAGCACTCGATGGTGATTTACAGTGAGTTTTGGGTAAAAAGCATAGTATTAATCTCATAAATTGTCGTGTGTAGCTTGATGCTAATTGTAGCTATAATTCACTTGTTAACCAGAAACGATTATATTTCATGATGTATTTTGACAAAATAATTCATGTATGGTCGTAAGACAATTTTTTGTTTTGTTTTCTTGAAAGATTTTTGATAATAGGTGGGCATGAAAAATAAAAATATAAAATATATTTATGGCCGAGTGAGCAGAAATTAAATATGCTCATTCATCTTTTTTTATATTGAAATATTTAGTTAAACACTTAATTAGCTCACTTAAAAACTCTTAATTATTATGTTTAGGACCCGTGTGATTTTAGTATCATTGAGACTATTATATATACACTCACCGGCCACTTTATTAGGTACCCCATGCTAGTAACGGGTTGGACCCCCTTTTGCCTTCAGAACTGCCTCAATTCTTCGTGGCATAGATTCAACAAGGTGCTGGAAGCATTCCTCAGGGAGTTTGGTCCATATTGACATGATGGCATCACACAGTTGCCGCAGATTTGTCGGCTGCACATCCATGATGCGAATCTCCCGTTCCACCACATCCCAAAGATGCTCTATTGGGTTGAGATCTGGTGACTGTGGAGGCCATTTTAGTACAGTGAACTCATTGTCATGTTCAAGAAACCAATTTGAAATGATTAGAGCTTTGTGACATGGTGGAAGTAGCCATCAGAGGATGGGTACATGGTGGCCATAAAGGGATGGACATGGTCAGAAACAATGCTCAGGTAGGCCGTGGCATTTAAACGATGCCCAATTGGCACTAAGGGGCCTAAAGTGTGCCAGGAAAACATCCCCCACACCATTACACCACCACCACCAGCCTGCACAGTGGTAACAAGGCATGATGGTTCCATGTTCTCATTCTGTTTACGCCAAATTCTGACTCTAACATCTGAATGTCTCAACAGAAATCGAGACTCATCAGACCAGGCAACATTTTTCCAGTCTTCAACTGTTCAATTTTGGTGAGCTCTTGCAAATTGTAGCCTCTTTTTCCTATTTGTAGTGGAGATGAGTGGTACCCGGTGGAGTCTTCTGCTGTTGTAGCCCATCCGCCTCAAGGTTGTGCGTGTTGTGGCTTCACAAATGCTTTGCTGCATACCTCGGTTGTAACGAGTGGTTATTTCAGTCACTGTTGCCCTTCTATCAGCTCGAACCAGTCTGGCCATTCTCCTCTGACCTCTGGCATCAACAAGGCATTTCCGCCCACAGAACTGCCGCTCACTGGATGTTTTTTCTTTTTCGGACCATTCTCTGTAAACCCTAGAGATGGTTGTGCGTGAAAATCCCAGTAGATTAGCAGTTTCTGAAATACTCAGACCAGCCCTTCTGGCACCAACAATCATGCCACGTTCAAAGTCACTCAAATCAACTTTCTTCCCCATACTGATGCTCGGTTTGAACTGCAGGAGATTGTCTTGACCATGTCTACATGCCTAAATGCACTGAGTTGCCGCCATGTGATTGGCTGCTTAGAAATTAAGTGTTAACGAGCAGTTGGACAGGTGTACCTAATAAAGTGGCCGGTGAGTGTATATATATATATATATATATATATATATATATATATATATATATATATATATATATAATTAATTAGTAGTAAATTATGGGATGATTTTTTGATTTTTGGGAACTATTCCTTTAATTACATTTTTTTTTCCACGAGTCTGATAAACACTGCTCTGATTAAATTATAAATTACATAATCTGATATTTAATTAAAAAAAATTGCCCAATTGAATAACTTAAAATATATTTGGATACTTTTTGTTAGTAGCTTGACTCTAGTTTATCTACTTTAAATAATCAGTAGCCTGTAGCAACAGTTTCAAAGTAGCTTCTGCAACTCTGAGTATACAGCATCTGTAACATCTTTCGCAGATAATATATATAGCGATTATTATTTCCAAAGAGAAGTTTCCAGAGAATTCCCTGATTTGATAAGTTCCAGTAAAAGGCTAGGAGGTCTAATGAAGAGCTCAAGCAGCAGGGCTAAAGGTCCACAGAGCAGAGAGAGACACAGATGCAGCTAGCACTGCACCTGTCACATGAAGAAATCGCAAGAAAAAGATGAAAAACATTAGGAAAACGGGGGGAGAGAGAGAGAGAGAGAGAGAGAGAGAGAGAAAGCACAGCCCAGAGAGTAAGAGGAACAGAGAGAGGACAGAAGGAGGGAGTGACCTACTTTAAGGCCTTGTAGAAGAAGCTCTCTGGCAGTTCTCGCAACTTGTTGTGCTGCAGGTCGAGTGTTTCCAGTGGGATGTGGTCAAGCAGGTCAGCCAGCCTCTCCAACCTATTGTTTCCAGCCAGCAGTTTACGCAGACTCAGACTGCTAAGAAGTCTGAAAGCAAGGAGGGATAGAGAAAGAACGAGATGAGAGAAACACTGTGACATTGTTAACATGAATGTTAAATGGTCTTAAAGGTGCAGTGTGTAACATTTTTGAGTATCTATTAACAGAAATGCAATATGACATCCATAACTATGTGTTCAGTGGTGTATAAAGAACTTACTTAATAAACCGTAATGTTTTTATTACCTTAGAATGAGGCATTTATATCTACATAGGCGCGGGAATCCCCTTCTATGAAGGTCGCCATATTGTGACGTCATGTTTCTACGGTAGGCGACAGCGAACACACAGCGCTACAGAGCGCGTTTCGTCACTACCTTGAAAGAGAAGCCGCAGGAAGCTAGAAGAAGCTAGTCATAAACAGCGTGAGTAGTGACTTTTCCCTTGTCAGTGATGTAAATATGTAGTTGGATTGTTTCATGTAACTTAATTCTTCTCCCTCGCTGTGTTATGGCTTTGCTATGTGGGGATAAATGTGCTGGTTAAGTTCGTGAGACAGCTGATTAGTAGGCTACTCTTGTCATTGACCGTAAAACAGTTACAGGAATCACCAACCCGTCGATCTTGGAAGCAATTTAAGTCGATCGAGTTTCCAAAATCAGAGAAAAAAAGCCTATTGTGTGTGTAGTAAGTGTGTCTAGGGATGCGGAGGCGCGCACGCTGTTACAATCACGTCATTTTTGCCGCACTCACATTTGGGCTCATGCAGACGCGTCGAGTTTAAACAAGTCTTGGTTTACGCTGGCTATTCTCTGCTGTCTCAGTGACGATGTTTGTCCCGTTTTAGCCACCGTAGCTTCTTCGAAAGGGAGGGGTGAGCGGTGGGCTGAGCCCTTAGTGTAAATTCGCAACCGAACCGCTAGATGCCGCTAAAAGTCACACACTGCACCTTTAAATCTTGAAACTAAAAAAAACATCAGTGCCTAGACACCTTCAAAAGAATATTTTGTCCAGTAATTAAAATTCTAACTATTTATTCATCATCATGTAATTCCAAACTCATTTGCTATATTTTGTTTCTGCGGAATAAAAAAGGAGAGTTTTTTTTTTTAAAAAAACATTCAAGAAAAAACAGTGGGGGGTTGGATCAATTTGCGATTTTTTTTCTGATAAAAATTGTGATTGAGATGTAACATGCTATTTTTATAAATAAATAAAAGGTCGCTTGTTTGCAGGGCTGTAGAATTTGTCAGAAACCTTTGTGATTATATCAATATCTACTAATAAATTGTACTGTAAAATAAAATTTATATTACGACATTAAAATATTAAACAAAATAAAGAAATATTACTATTGTAATAATTCAGTGTGAAATAAAAAAGTTAAAAAAAATATATATTTTATTTTACAATACATCTGTAAAAATCTTAATTTCTTCATTTTCAAACGATAAACAATAATGCTTTTATTTCGGGCAAAAGACCACATGGAGCTCTTAAATCTTCTCTTTTGTTCGACAAAAAATGTTCAACTCGCATTTAAAAAGAACACAATGTCTCGCTTCATTTGAGAGTTGCACTAAGCATATCACAATTTCGGTTTCATTTCGATTAATCATGCACCCCTAATATACATGTACAACTAAAAGTCTTCTGAAGCCAAACAATAGTATTGTGTGAGCAACAGACACAAAATTAGGAAGTTATTCACTTAAATATAATTTAAAATATCATTTACACCTTATTATTTTTATAAGATATCATTTGACCAGGTTTGACATTAGGTTTTTGTATTTGTTGTCACCAAAAACTGGCAGGCTAGATCGATTTTGCAATGATACTTGACAGCTGTAACTAAAGATTTTCAGTAAACATGTTTTTGTTTACTCACGATATAAGGAAAATATAACCACAGCACGAATTTGCAATGACACGAGGCTGAGTACATAAAGACCGAATTCTCCTTTAAGATGAACTATTCCTTTAGAATCCCAACACAGCATTTTCATGCGAGGCAAAGAGTGCAACACTCACAGTCTCAAATGGGACATAAACTTCAAGCCGCATATTATCTCATTTGTGCACGGCTTTCAGCCCTTTCAGATGCAAATGCCGGAATGTTAATGTGGAATTAGCTGTGAAATGGTGCTTTCATCTGCTCGGCGTTTACATCACTCTGCTTTGAGACAGCAGAGTGGCCACATCAAGCGTCTGCTGATGAACGCTGTCCCATTTCTATTCAGATCCACCGTCTGGCCAGACAGTCGCTTAACCGACATCATTCAAATCAAACGGGCAATTTTTGTTGAATAAATAAGTGCAAAATGCTGACATTAAGATTCTGAGATGGGAGAGCAGTAGGACATTTTCTTTTTAGAGGGAAAATGCAAATGCGGTTTATGAGGGTCTGAACACACATACATACATACATACACACAAATGCGCGCACCTGGCTGGGAGCTCAGACAGCAGATTATGGGAGACGTCCAGCACCTCAATCTTCCTGCTGTCACACACCCAGTCTGGCAGGTATTCCAGGAGATTCCTTCAGGAGGAAAGTGAATTAACTCCAGGCTAATTACATGAGAGCATTAGCATTGTATAAGAACGTGCGAGGTAAAGGATGTGACTGCTGCGCATTGAGCCTCTTGTAAATGAGCTGATGAACATTTGGTACCATTTGCATTACAATGTTCATGTTGTAGTGCAAGTACACTAATAAGTACAGACTCAGAGCAGTGTTATTTTAGTATTATTTATCTAGCCGCAACCACAAACAAAAATAGATTTTTTGGTTACTTGTGAAATGTCATTGGTCCAAAATGCTGGCGTTTAGTTTGTGCAGCATTTTTCAATTTAGTCTGGGCAGAAAAAATTACTTGTCGCAACTAGTATGTACAGATTACAGAATGAATGTCAGTTCAATATATGCTTACCTTGATAGGTCCATATGTGTTAGTTGGTTGGGAACAGGGTAGATGTTCACCGTGGTCAGACCTAAGAAAAATAATACAGTGATTATGATAATAATATAATGAAAATGTCTGTAAATCTTTTGGCGTCGAACATTTCTATTTGCACTCACGGTTGTTGTTGGCGTGGAGTGTGCGCAGAGTGAAGCCGCTGAGCGTCAGGGATCCCAGCTGGTTTCGCTGACACTGCAGCGTCTCCAGACTGCAGAACGCGCTCAGGTCTAGAGAGGTCAACTGGTTGTCTCTCAGGTCGAGCTGGGTGAGATGTTTTACAGGCTCCAGAGTTTCACTTTTAACACAGCGGAGGCCATTTAACCTACAAACAAAAGGACAGTCAGCTGCAAAGAATCCAAACAGCAAAAATGCTGTATGTTGGTGGACAAAGAAATAAACATAATAACAGATGGAAGAGTGGAGCTCCAAGACACTGAACATTGAGAATATGTCCGTGTTATCTTGTATTATTAAATACAGTTACATTTTAAAGGGATAGTTCACTTTGAAAAAATTTTTTGGTATGTTTTAGCTTACCTCAAGGGCATCCAAGATGTAGGTGTCTTTGTTTCCGCAGTAGTTTCAATTTTGATATTTTTAGGTCAAACCGTTCTTGTCTGTCAATGCATGTCTATGGTCACTTCCACAAAGAGCATGCACAGAGAAGTCCAAATTAAACATGATTTAATGACTCGTAAATGTAAGTACACATTGATGGCCTAAGACACGAAACGAGCGGTTTGTGTGAGAAAACGAACAGTATTTATATCGTTTTACCTCTTGTAAACACAGCCATGTCCAAGTGATCTGCGGGCGCGGGCGCTTCGGTCTGCGCAAGCGCCGGAAAGCGCCGGAAGTGATCTCTCGCGCGTGTACGTCACTCGTTGTTTACACAGAGATTTCGGAAGTGTTACCTTTCACTGTGAAGATCTAAACATATTTAGATATACAGGAAATCGCAATGGAAGACGATTTCGATATATCAACAGACAACGTTGCATTTTTTTCACAACCGCGCGAGAGATCACTTCCGGCGCTTGCGCAGACCGAAGCGCCGGCGCCCTCAGATCACTTGGACGTGGCTGTGGTTACAAGAGGTAAAAACGATATAAATACTGTTCGTTTTCTCACACAAACCGCTCGTTTCGCGAGGCCATCAATGTGTACTTACATTTACGAGTCATTAAATCATGTTTAATTTGGACTTCTCTGTGCATGCTCTTTGAGGTGGTGACCATAGACCTGCATTATATGACTGACAGACAAGAACGGTTTGACCTAAAAATATCAAAATTGAAACTACTGCGGAAACAAAGACACCTACATCTTGGATGCCCTTGAGGTAAGCTAAAACATACCAAAAATTTATTTCAAAGTGAACTATCCCTTTAAGGTCAGTAAAAAATTTTGTACTGTACAGTATCTTTTGCTTGTGCAAACAAAAAAGCTACATTGCTTATGCAATAATGCAAATAATTATTTCATATTATTATAATTATATAATGCAATTTAGAAATATTGATTTATAATCAGCAATGTTGTAGTAAATCGTTCGAATGATACGCACAAATTAGTTAAGAAAAAATGATTCACTGATTAATTTAGTCAAATGAGAAGTCAGCTTTCATAAAAATCAAGTTTCCAGTTTAGCAGTCTAACAAAAACAGGATTTTAGACATCAGAAACACAGAATAAGGGTCATTCTGACATGACAAGTAAACAGACACTTGCTAAATATAATTTATAATACATTTACAAATAATAAAGGTAGTATAGGTGGACCGCTCTGCGCTGTCGTGTCTCTGGATTGGAGCAGACTGTGTGTGTGTGCTCTGCGGCGGTTCTCGTGACACTGACATGAAGCCAGACTTCATTCTTGGATTAGCAAGCATATTTAAACTGTCTGAATTGTTCCCTATCCCCTATATAGTGCACTAAGTGCCATGCAGCATGTAGAAAACAGTAAATGTGACCGATTTCAGCCGCAGCAACACAATCTCGATTTATAATGTAGGGGGCGGGACGCTTTAGATTCCAGAGAGCATTTGATTGGATTGAAAATATGATGAGAAGCTAAAGTGCAGAGTGATGTCATCAAAATCATTGATCCATATTGGTGGAAGCGTGAGAATGTAAGTTTCGAATGCTTATATCTTCTAAATGTGAATTTTGTCATTGTTTTGGAGCACACTAGCTTAAAGATAACAGTAAGGCTAATATATTCATGCTAAAAGCCCCCACAAAAATGTATTTCATGGGGACTTTAACCGAACGGCTACCCGTTACGAGAGACGCCACACAGTTCGCTAATGACCATCACATCCAAATGATAAGGGCATTAAACCTTTGTGTTTCTCGCAGCCCCCCATGAACTCAAATCCCCACTCACATCTGCTGTTTGCACACTTTCTGCCCGTGGGATCGGTGTATGTGAGGAATCTGAGTGGCGACTCGTGTCAAGTGCAGTGGGATAATCCAGCAGAAAAACTCTGAGCTTGTTCAGGTGACAGACGCCTCCCTCTTTCCCGTTTCAGACCCCGCGTGAGCTCCCACCACAGATCAGCTCTGTGTTATGAGCCTGGCTGGATTTATAATCCACAGCAGGTGCAGTCAGGACCCAGAAAATCCACAAACCTCAGTCTGTTTCACTCAGGTGCGTCACAGACTGTCAGCTGTGATCAAAAACCACTGGCTGTTTAAAAATGACTTTATGAGAAGAGCAAATGTGACTTTGTTAGCGACAGGGCAGTCTAGACCTCAGACGGTCGGTCCACAGACCGCCCACGGTCCGTTTACTAACCGTCTGATGCATTTTGCACTCAAAAATAGCAAACGCAGACCAAAATCAACATTTCCAACCTTTTAAGAAATTAAAAGGAAGGGCACACAAATTATGATTTATGTTATGATGAGAAGTTATGTTTACAAGGGTTGATACAATAATGCTTTTGAAGATGAAATGAATCACTAGATTTGTAATTTGATTGATTGATTGATTAGATTTTTTTTTTTTTCAAAATATATATATTTTTTAAAGAAGTCTCTTATGCTCATCAAGGCATTTATTTGATCACAAATACAATAAAAAAGTAATATTAATATGAAATACTATTGCAGTTTAAAATAATTGCATTTCAAATATATTTTAAAAATATTAAAAAAAATGTCAGCATCATTACTCCAGTCTTCAGTGTCACATGATCCTTCAGAAATAATTTTAATATGCTGATTTGCCGCTCAAGAAACATTTCATATTGTTATAAATGTTGAACACAGTTGTGCTACTTATTTAATATTCTAAATCATTTGTTTTGGATTCTTTAATGAATAGAACGTTTGAAAGAATAGCGTTTATTTGAAATAGATTTTTTTTAAATAAAATTATAGATGTCTTTACTGTCACTTTTGATCAATTTAACGCATCCTTGTTTAATAAGCTTAATTTAATATATGAAAGAAAAAAAACTTTTAAACTGTAGTGTAGAAGCAAACTCTAACTCTAATTTCCACATTTCATTATCAGTGGAGAATGCCAGGTCGTTATTGTTTTTATTTTTTTAGCACCTATTATCTTTTGTTGTGGTGTGATACAAAAACAGCAAACCATGGCTGGATGCTTTATGCATCAGACAGATGGGCATTTTCAAAATGGGCTTTTGTTTTTTTGCCAGAATAATCTACAAAGAGGCCCAGATTTGAATGCTGAAGTCTGGCTGCGTGAGACTAGCGACAGGGCCACCTGTGAGTACAAATAGAGCTGTGCTCCTGTCAAGTCTGTGATTTACTGATAGGTGATCTTATTACATTACTATTGTATATTGATCCTGCATTATGCATAAAGTCTGAGCTGAGAGTAATAACATACTGACAGGTGACAGACAGAAGAGAGAGAGAATGGAGGAACAGAAGGAGCCAGACCGTATGACGCACAAAGATATATAGATAGCGAGAGAAAGAGGAAGATGTTTCTAATAGCTCACCGTAAATCAATACTCTTAATGTGACTCATACGTAGCAGACTGCACAGATTCAGAGTCTCCACCCTGTTCCCAGCCATCGCCAGCTTGTCCAGGGCACAGAGTCGCTCCACCACGACGGGGATGTGAGGAAACCCGTTGAAGGAAAGTCCCAAGCTGCAGAGCTGCACGAGGCTGCCCAGCTCCTCTGGAAGAGAATCCAAGCGATTCCCATCCAAACACAGTGTCTGTAAGCTGAAGAGATAATAGTCTATGAATTCACAGCCAAACAGACACGCTTTTAAGATATGGGAAATGATAAAGTGGTTACTATTAAAAATGCTGGTTTGTCAATACTGTTTATTTGTTCATATTTATAGCGGTGGGGGTTTAATAGTAAATAGAGATTTACAACACACACACACAAAAAAAAAATCAACAACTTCTTTTTATTACATAGATGGAAAACTTTCTTTTTAATTGCTTTATTCTTGTCCCAGATCCCAACCTTTTGTCCACAATAGTGGACTACAATACCACTTACAGTTATGCTATATTATAACCATATTTCTTATGTGCATATATGCTATTATTAATAAATGTAATTGTTTATTGAACACTGGTGTCTTTTTTGTTTGTATTTCTATGCCTAAAAATATCTCCCCCTTAACTGTGGTAAAATTACCAGAATGCGTTATATTTATAGATATAAGAATTCATGGCCTCTCATAGAATGTTGCTTTCATAAATGGAACATATATGAATGATAATATAATGTAATAGAATGTAATGTAACTGTAACGCATGTTCTGTTTTATTTTTTTCTTCACTCTGTTCCTGTTTTTCTGAGTTCCTAGTTAGCTTCCTTGTTTGTTAATTAGTTGCCTTAGTCCCTAATTTCCATTTTCCACACACCTGTTCTGTTTCTATTTGATTACATTCTCTGTGTCTTTAAACCCCGAGTTCTGTCTGTTCATTGTTCCGTCGGTTTAACGTGGTTGTGCCAATTTATTTCTCCTACAATCTCCAGTGTATTCCCAGTTCGGATTTATTAAAGATTATTTTTGTTCCTGAATTCCTGCGTTATGCGCTTCAGTACAGTCACAGCCGTTAGTTATTTCCCCATTCGCCTGCATGTTTGAGTTCTCATTAGTCTCCTCAGTTACTGATTGATTAGTTATTCTGTTCAGCTGTGTCCTGATTACTTTCCTTTGTTTGCCTCATGCATTTATACCCTGAGTTTCTGTCTGTTTCTTTGTCCGTTCTCGTTTATTCAAGAGGCCACAGCTACCCGTTACAGAAGGAAGGACCCTCATATTGAGTATATTTAATCAAAATGGACTTACCAACGGTGAACCTCCTCCACCTCCCCAAAACGAGGAATTTGATGTATTTGAGTATTTAGGCTGGATACTCCAGCACGTAGGACTTCCCCTTATAGCCCGCGACCCAGAGCCCAAACAGCCATCACCCTGCCGCGATCCAAGAGCCATCGCTCCTGAGCCTCAAAACGCGTTTGACCAGGTGCGAGTGCCGGCAACATCGCCCGTCCTCTCTAACTCTCCTGTGCTTCCAGTATGGCCTCCCAGCCTTCCTCTCCCGCCTCCTCTTCAGACCTCAGCCTGTCCCTCTGATCAGTTTCCGATGTCCCCCGTCAGCCCCTCGGCCTCTCCACTACCTCCTCTCTGTGGTGTGGATCCAAATCAGGACAGCCGTCTACCAATGTGTGGATCCCCTGGCTCCGCCTCCAGCCGTTGTTTCTGCCGCTCTACCTCGTCCTGTCGTCCAGGCTCCTCCGCTCCTCAGCTCCACCAGGGACTATCGACCTTTTGGCTCCACCGGGTTCCCTCGATCCTCTGGCTCCACCTTGGTCGGATGTCGCCACAACAACGCCAAGGACTTAAGAGTCATCCGCTATGCTCCGTCTCTCCACCCCTACGGCTCCGTCTGGCTCCACCCTACCGCTGGTTCGGCCTCGGCCCTCAGTCGCCCCGTCTCAGTCCTCCGGTACCCTGGCTCCCCCTCAGGGGATCATTGCTGCTGCTCCATCGCGGCCTCCGAAGCCTGCGATCTTGCTCTGGAACATCTGCTCTTCATATGCACATTGGGCTCCTCCACCATTGGCTCCGTCATCATCCATCGTCCCTATGGGGTCATGGCTCCTCCCTCCTTTGACTTCTCCAGGCTGAGCTCTGGGCTCACGTTGGCCTACGTCTGATCCTGATTCCTCCTTTGCTCCTCCCACCGCCTGTGGCTGTTTGTGCCTGTATCTCCATCATTGGCCAGCCCTTCACCTGCTCCCTATCCTCCTCCAGAGCTCCCGCCCTCCCTCCTCAGTTGGACCCTACGCCGCGAGGACACACCTCTCCATAGGGGGGCTTTGTCACATTCATGTTCAGTTTCTATTGGTTATTTCCCTGTTTGAGTTCTCATTAGTCTCCTAAGTTACTGATTGATTAGTTATTCTGTTCAGCTGTGTCCTGATTACTTCCCTTTTTTGCCTCATGCATTTATACCCTGAGTTTCTGTCTGTTCCTTTGTCTGTTCTCGTTTATACAAGTGGCTGTGTATTCCGATTCTCCTGAGTTTTCCTAAGTGTTAAAAAACTGTTGTTCTCGTATACCTGTCGCCGTGCACTTCATTCACCGCAGCTACTCGTTAATATAAAATAATATAGCCTGATGCTGATAATTTTAAGGACACTAATATTGACAGATACGGTCAGCACTATCCAGTAAGATTCCACTGCAGGCTTCCTACATGCTCAGAGCACCTCATATAAGCTGAGCAGAGAGCAGTAAAACTAGGCTGATTTTTATGCTTGATTTAATCTGGTAGCGTAATATGCACGGCTGAACTTCATGCATTTTACTTGCTCATTTTGAGGGGGAAAAAGAACTTCGCTTGACAGGCTCTTTGGTACCACACCGACTGTAATTGCAGGAGCAGTGGTGCTATAAAGCACTGAATAATTTAAATACAATCATGCAAATCAAAGGATTATTTAGATTATAACCCATAATCACACTCATTATGTTGTGCAATGTTTTTCAAATGACCTACAAGGCACATTTGTGCACTTACAAAAGTTGAGCTGATTACAAAAAGAGAGGCCATTTTGGCAATAACAAAAAGGATCAGTGACTTCAGAAACGTAACCAAACAAGCACATATTTTCTCTTTTAGATCATCTACAAAAATAGCAACAACAAACAGCATATTATTTGCAGGTTAAAAAAGAGCAGCCGCAGATGGTGTGTAAAGTCGTGTAATGTGCGCTGACCTCTGGAGGTTGTCGATGTGGGCCGGGATCGCACTGAGACCATTGCAGGACAGGTAGAGCTCTGTCAGTGTCAGGATCTCACACACCGACTCCGGGAATACGCCCAGACCATTGTGAGAAAGGTTCAAGCTCTTTAGCTGGGCAAATCTGCGGAAATATTCAGTGCTCTTAATGGACAAGGTTATTTCCTGATGATATGACTCTATCATAAGACATGAGAAACACTTATGCATAATGGACTTACTACAAATGCATTTAGAGAGCAAGTCTTTAGAAGAAGCCTGCCTAAAAGTTTCTTTAAATGTATATAAGGCCAGCAACTGTTAAAAATCACCATTGTTACCGTACAGCCATCACATAATAACCATACGAGGTGTCAATCAGTGAATCCTCAAATGTGGTATTTGAGCAGAAACTATGGTTCCCAATGTAAATTTATATAAAGGAGCTCCCTGGAGACAAATGAAGTAAAGAGACATGTGCAATGGAGATGTCCGACAGTTTTGATCCAAATGTAGACAATATGTCTTCTGGAAGACCAATTTAGTAGTCATCTTTATTATCCCATGGGGAGACCTTCAGTGAATATTGCGGGCATGACAAAAGACAAAAGGACAAGAACAATCATCAAACACTTTCTATAAATATTAAAAATCAAAATAAGTAATCTGCCATATAAAATTAAGTCATAAAATCATAAAAATGTCAGTTAGATGTCAGTTAAAAAGAATCAGAAATTAATTAATTTATTCAGCAAGGACACTTTAAATTCACAATGTTACAAAATATTTTTATTTCATATAAATAAACTTTATTAAAGAATCCTAAAGAAAAAGTACATCACAATTTCCACAAAAATATTAGGCAGCATGACCGTTTTAAATATTGATTATAATAATAAGAAATGTTTCTTGAGCATCAATATACTACAATGATTTCTGAAGGATCATGTGACACTGAAGACTGGAGTAATGATCCTGAAAATTCAGCTTTGCGTCATAAGAATAAATGACATTTTAATATATATTAAAATAGAATATTGTAATAATATTTCGCAATATTTGCTGTTTTTACTGTATATTTGATCAAATAAATGGAGCCTTGGTAAGAGACTGCTTTTAAAAAACATAAAATCTTACAAACTTCCCATTTCTTTTTCATTATCAATGTTGAAAACAGTTGTGCTGCTTAATATTTTTGTGTAAAACTTGATACATTTTAAGGATTCTTTGATGAATAGAAAGTTAAAAAAAGAACAGCATTTATTTGAAAAATAAATCTTTGTCACATTATAAATGTCTTTACTGTCACTCTTGATCAATTCATTGTGTCCTTGTATTAATTTATCTCTTTAAAAAAAAAAAAAAAAAAAAAACTACAAACTAATAAAATACCCACTCGCTGTATAAATGACTTTACCTCCCAAAGTATCTTTCCAACTTTGTTTTATTGGCATGCGTGCGTGCATGTGTGTGTGGCTCCTATAACAGCATAATTTCCCTTTGAGGATTAATAAAGTGGTATGATATCATATCGTTTCAAACTAAATGACATCATTGCATGCTCTTCCTGGTCTCTCCTGCCCAATTTCCCACACTCCTGTTTCCTTTAACTGGCTCAATGGCCTTTGTATCCTTGTTACCACAGGCAAATGACGCTGTCAGACGGGGCTCTTCATGGACGAATGACTGCCAAAGAGCGCTCATCCAGCCCAGAGCAACCGCCTGACACGACAAACACCCCTGAGCGAGGCATCTTGCAGCGACACAAAAATGTCTATAGCACGAAACCTAAATATCAGAGGCTGTGGCTATATGTGGTCCGATGTGCATGTTAAGAATCAGCCTGTCAATGACTGATGTGGTTGGGAGGTAAAGTCGTGAAGGTGGCAGCTTGTATCAGAACATATGCTGAGCTCTAGCCTCTCTCTCACACACACACACACACACACACACATCACCCCACCACCACCACCATCATCCTACGCATCCTGCACCACCCACCATACACAGTTACTAAATATATGTCACAGCTGAGATGAGCAGAGAGAGAGAGAGAGGGAGCTAGAGGGAGAAAAGACCAGAAAGGAGAGGCATAATGGAGCAAGCATGTGTGAAAGCTCTCTGTGAAAGTAGTAACATGGCAGAGAAGCTTCTTACATGAGGTAAAAATGTCTGGGTTATATATATTTCCCTCCAAAATCAACAGGAAATAAGAAGCGTAACCTTATAAAGCCTACTGTATCATATTTGATACACACATTTCTAAGGCCTCTAAATGATCAACATGATCAAAACCTGTTGTTGCTACATGCCTTCTTCTGTCTGATCGGTAGTTTATATTTTTTAGCAAGTTAAAGCCCTTAAATCATTCTAAAAAAGTCTACCTTTTTGGTGTAAAATCTGTACTGTTTTTATATTGCTTGTTCATGTTCATTCACAGTGCATTAACTAATGTTAACAAACACATTTTGATTTTAATAATGTAATAGAAAATGTTGAAATGAAAATTGGATAGAAGTATTCATTCTTATTTATACTAAAGGGGGGCTTTAAGAGTTAGCTAAATGTTAACTAATGAAACCTTATTGTAAAGTGTTACTGTAATATTTCAAGATAAACACTTAATGGACTTGATTATACATCATTGTTTTGAAAAACCTTGTTAAAATGTGAGTATCAAATATGATACATCAACGTTTATTTGTTCACCTATTGTATTGCACTGCATTATATGGTTTGCTTCCTACAATAAAAACTACAGAGCCTTGATCATAAACTATAAGCATTTAAATATTATCTTAAGACAGATATAAAAGGGACAACTGGTATTTGTAAAGCTTTATAACAGTAAAACAGACTACTGACATAAAATGCATATATTACAATTTATCAAAATTACATCTTATTTTTTGGCCATATAAATATCAGCACCAAATTGCATATTTTTGCCCAGTTTGGGTATCTGAATAATCTTGAGGTACACATATGCACAAAATATTTGTTTAAAAGGTATAATAAACTATAAAAAAATATTCACAAAAATATCCTTAAAATAATTTTTCTCTTGATTTTGGGGTGAAATATGACCAGAACATGTCTTTTGGATGCAGAAATATACATGCCCCATCTAATGATAACTGTACCGATTTAAACACCACTAATCATAGTTAATGATTAACGTGCAATAGCATCATCACCCCTGTAAGTTCCCATTTCGTGATGCTCTTATTGCTTCTATTTGCACAGAAGCGGCTGCCATTGACATAAGTGCATGTACAGAATAAATAGCTCTTCTCCGTGTGCATGGCAGCGCAACAAGAGACCGCATCCCAACGGAAACAACAGCCTAAATTTATGCACAAGTTTGTAATTATGTAAAGAGCATTGTAGAAAGGTATTTTTCTGAAGTACACCTGGCAGGAAAACAGAAATGATAGCTCTGTACTAAATCCTAGAGCTGCTTTTCTGTCCACAATCTACATACAGCAGCCAAACCATCTAAAGCTGAATCATGTAAATTCACCTGTTGAAGTTGATGAGTCCTCCAGGGCCGTCCAGCCTCACGAAGTTGTGCCGTAGGTTGAGGTGTGTGACGTCCTGGCAGTAGAAGAGATACTCGGGCACTTCCTCCAGACTGTAGCAGGATAAATCCACCAGACTTATAGTCTGAGACACCACCTACATGACAATGTGAAAATGCACACCTCATCAACATGATCAGCATTCTGCTGCAGCCTATACAAATCCAATGATCTTATAATGGTAATATCAAAATAAGGTTAGGCACGACATAAAACCTTAGGAAAATCAATGTATTTGCAAGGCCTTTGGCTAGAATGGTTCATTGCTTGAATAAAATGGTGGAACAATGATAAAAGACAACCAATGTTATGCAATAAAATAGTTAATGATATACATTAAATATGAATAAAAATATATTAATAGAAATTAATAACCAGTAAATTAAAAAATAACTATGTTATAAATAAGCTGAGATGTTATAGTGAGAACTCCATATTTTATATAAGATATTATATATTCTTTTAAGATATTTTTGACTTTTATTTTATATGTCAGACTTTACAGGGTTAATAATAAGAATTACAATAATTGTTTCGTCAAGAAATATTTTATTAGCTTAAATGTAGGCTGTTTACAGTCGCCAATCTACAGTGAACAAAATTATAAATGCAACACTTTTGTTTTTGCCCCCATTTTTCATGAGCTGAACTCAAAGATCTAAGACTTTTTCTATGTACACAAAAGGCCTATTTCTCTCAAATATTGTTCACAAATCTGTCTAAATCTGTGTTATTGAGCAATAACTTGAGCTTCTCCTTTGCCAAGATAATCCATCCACCTCACAGGTGTGGCATATCAAGATGCTGATTAGACAGCATTATTATTGCACAGGTGTGCCTTAGGCTGGCCACAATAAAAGGCCACCCTAAAATGTGCAGTTTTACTGTATTGGGGGGGGGGGGGGGGTCCAGATCCTTGCAACATGGGGCCGTCCATTACCATGCTGCAACATGAGGTGATGATCGTGAATGAATGGCACAACAATGGGCCTCAGGATCTTGTCACGGTATCTCTGTGCATTCAAAATGCCATCAATAAAATGCACCTGTGTTCGTTGTCCATAACATACGCCTGCCCATACCATAACCCCACCGCCACCATGGGCCACTCGATCCACAATGTTGACATCAGCAAACCGCTCACCCACAGGACGCCATACACACTTCACCTCAGACGATCTTGGAGGTGAAGATGCTGGATGTGGAGGTCCTGGGCTGGTGTGGTTACACGTGGTCTGCGGTTGTGAGGCCGGTTGGATGTACTGCCAAATTTTCTGAAACGCCTTTGGAGATGGCTTATGGTAGAGAAATGAACATTCAATTCACGGGCAACAGCTCTGGTGGACATTCCTGCAGTCAGCATGCCAATTGCACGCTCCCTCAAAACTTGCGACATGTGCCATTGTGCTGCGTGATAAAACTACACATTTTAGAGTGGCCTTTTATTGTGGCCAGCCTAAGGCACACCTGTGCAATAATCATGCAATAATCAGCATTTTGATATGCCACACCTGTGAGGTGGATGGATTATCTAGGCAAAGGAGAAGTGCTCACTAACACAGATTTAGACAGATTTGTGAACAATATTTGACAGAAATAGGCCTTTTGTGTACATAGAAAAAGTCTTAGATCTTTAAGTTCAGCTCATGAAAAATGGGGGCAAAAACAAAAGTGTTGCGTTTATAATTTTGTTCAGTTTATATAGCAATTACTCTATAACTTGTTTTATCATTTATGTAAAAACATGGCTTACTCAATCAGATTTTAAAGGTGCAAAAACACTGCTTGAGAATGGCTGAAGAGCTCAGTGGTGACATCATTCATGCACTGCCGCATGAGCCAAACTCAGATCAGTGAAATGAAGCAAACGGTCATTACATCACAAGAACAGAATCTGAGCGTGCTGGTTAATTCACATGGATGGAGTCCGTGGGACAGACTAATGTTAAGGGTCAATGACGACATGCTTAGATTTTTGTGTCTACGTAATTAATTAAAAAAATATATTAATAAAATGCAATTCATACAGACATTTACCAGATTCATTTACATTTCATTCATTCATTTACCAGAATACAGGTCTTATGATAAACATGTCTTCAATTTCTAAACTAAAATGAGTTGCAAGGCATTTAGTAATTTAGTCAAAAGAAGAAAAAAAAAAAGAGTCAATAAGAAGCTGAAAAAGACAGTAGCATGTAAAACAGATATAATTTGGCGTAATCTTTATTATTATTATTATTTAAAAAAAAAAGGAAATATTCAAAGTAGTAAAGCATTTATGGTTACTAATGTTACCACAATATATGCAAAAAATTATTTACCACATTTATTTATGAATCTTCAAAGCATTTTTGCTTCAAAATATTACAAATATTACCACAAACAATCTCTAAAAATTAATAATGATATTTGAAGAAAAATTTTTTACTTTCAGAAATGTATTAAAGGTGTAAGGAAAATATGTTATGTTATTGCTGTTTTACTTAATAGTCACACTTGACATTTTCAAAGTTATTGCACATTTGCACATGATTTTTTTATATTTTTTATTGCCACTGACCCCTAGATGTCTGGTGCTATTTAAGTATTACTTATGAATTAGCTTTATATATATATATATATATATATATATACACACACCTTTCTATTTAGCTGCTTCTTCTTTTTTCTTTTAAGCTTACAACACTTAAGCTTAAACTTCAACTTTATTTCAGTTAATTGCCAAGGCAACATTTTCCATGTAATATTAGTATTTTATTTCAGCTTTATTTCAATTGCTGCAAATGATTGTTAGGAAATTTAGCTTTAGTCAACAATGATTTGGACTGGATTGAAAGGCTCTTTTATTACTGAGCCAGTCAGACCTCACAGCACAGCGGCTGTAGTGATGCACATTAAGCACACACACACACACACACACACACACACACACACACACACACACACACACACACACACACAAACGCTCTATTTCTCATCTATCATGCCACCTCAAACAGCCTGTTACCTCAGGATCACCCTCACACACAATCGTTCAGAGCGTGTTTTGCATAATTCAGGAAGTTTCTGGTGTAGGGGAGTTAGCTGTGATCTCCAGAGATGGTCAGACCTCATTAGACTCCAGAGACGCAGCCAGAGTTTGGAATGCCAATTAATTAGGTGATTAAGACAAATGAGGACTAACAGAACACAGGGAAGCCGAACAAAAAAGAAACACAAAGAAAGCTAACAAATTCGGGACAATAAACGTGTGTGTTTTAAACACAAGACAGCTGTTTCAGCTGTTCACTGCAGGCGGTCGGTACGGTGTGTCCCTCCGTACCCAAAATACAAACACGTACAATCTGTGAGGGGGATTTATTGGAAAAGCGATAGAAGAGAAAACTCTGATCCGCTGTTGAATCACTGTGGGTTTCCTAATGAAATCTTAATGCATGTCTAGATTAGATAAAGCACATCACTCACTTTAGAAGCCTGCCGATGCCAGCGCTGGTAGTCGGCCAGCGTGTCGAAGTTAACGTAGTAGGTCTGGGCCTGTGGGCCGGCGGAGCTGAACATCAGACAGTGCTGTCTCCTCTTCACCTCTTCCACCTGAGCCAAGAAACGAGCATGTCACCTCTGTTGGTAATGAAGACACTATGTGCTTTGAAGAAAACACTTATGAACCTTGGCAAAAGGTTAACCAATCAGTAAATCCAGCACTCACTCTATCAACCTATATTATTGTCTCTGATATTACAGAAATAATACATTTAAAGGGATAGTTCACCCAAAAATGAAAACCTACCCTCATTTTGTTCCAAACCTGTATGAGTTTCTTTCTTCTGTTGAACACAAATATATATATATATTTTAAAGAATGTTGGTAACCATTCATTGACTTCCATAGTATTTATTTTTCCTACTATGGAAGTCAATGGGTAATGTTTACTGTCTGGTTACCAACATTCTTTAAAATATCTCCTTTTGTGTTCAACAGAAGAAAGAAACTCATACAGGTTTTAACAACATGAGGGTGAGTAAATGATGACAATTTTCATTTTTGGGTGAACTATCCCTTTAAGTGCGAACTCAACATTTCAAAATGTATTATAGTTTAAATTTATATTAAATACAATTAGTTGAACGTTTTGTGACCACTTAAGTAGGACTTAAGCACATCTTTATTTAATTTCATAATTACTTCTATTGTCTTTTAAATATGGTTAAAGTGTACTGCTGAATGTATTGACAAGCATTTATGGCAAACTAAAATATACTTTGATGTAATTTTTATTGAAACTTGTAGTGCTGTGTCACATATTTGAATAGAGTTCGTTTTAATCAAACCAAACCTGCCAAGTGTGAACACACCCTTAAAATAAATTAACTGTAAATGTAATATCAAATTACAGTTTACATTATAATCAATTACTTTACATGTGGTTTAGTTTAGTACTTCTTTTAAGCATGACGGATGATTATTAAAACAATGATTTAAAATGTACTTTAAAGTAAAACTATTTTTTAAAAGTGTGTTAAGAAACAGTGATGAAAGTGCACCCTCAAGTACACTTAAAGGGTTAGTTCACCCAAAAATTAAAATTATGTCAGTAATTACTAACAGAATTTTAATTTTTGGGTGATCTAACCCTGTAAAGGTGCTAGGATCTGTAGACAGAAATGCAATATAATATACATAACTGTTTTCAATGGTGTATAAAGACCTTACATAATGAACCGTTATGTTTTTATTACCTTGGAATGAGCTGTTTCTACCTAAATACACCGAGGGTCCCCCTACATTGAAATAGCCATTTTGCGCCGGCATGTTTCTACGGTAGCCCTAAATGGACAAACGCGTGTCGTCACTATTGCTGTTCTTCGTGCAAAGACGCTAGCTAAAGTCAGCGAATAAAACACTGGTGAACAAGTAACACTAATATTTGCAATAACATATCGTTTTACTGAATAATAAAGTAAACATAATTTCTTAATTTATCTTTGTAATGAAACCTCATTGCTTAACTGGCTACTCTCTTCTGTCTCAGACGATGACATCACTTCCTGTCGGCCACCTTAACTTCTGTTGGTTGCAATTCGCAACCTCACCACTAGATGCCGCTGAAAATCACACACTGCACCTTTAAGTGCACTTTTGTTTAATTATTATCAAGTCCAGTTTTTTGTAAACATTAATTTAAGATTTGAAGAACACTATCGGTGCATACTCAATACAATTAGCACACTTCTCTTCCACAAGAGTAACACATAACTAGAAGTTTCTCCACCAGTTCTGCTTCCAAAAGATGATTTTGAAATTCACAACTCCAGTAACAAACATTAATTTCGACAGAAGAATTCATGTAAGTGCTTTAACAAAAACACATTTCTGCTTTTAAACCCTCTGGGCTGCTTGAATACTAGACATCATATTGAAGTGTATTACTGTAAATTGAAACTGAAAAGACTGCAAGCTGAAAGTATTGCCTGTGGTAATAGGCACACCTACTGTACAGTCCATATACATGAAGCCGAAAACCCAGAATATTCCTTTAAAGTCCCCATGAAATCAAAATTGAGAATTCTTGTTTTTATGGAATATTGCAGTGTTTATTATAAATGATTTATAAGTGCACATTAGGGCTGTCACTTTTTATTCGATATTCGAATATGCATTCGAACATGACGTGAAATATCCGTAATCGAACTATAAATAAACTAACTGGTTTTTAAAATGCCATGTTTAGCGCATTTTTTACAGTCTATGATTTAGACCGTTTGTTTTTTATTTTATTGTTTGCCATCTCATCCAGTAGCTGGCACTCTAAACGTATTGTAGCGTAAGCTCATGACCAAATCAAGCGAATAATAGCCAATAGCCACCCTGTTTTGAAAATGGAAGATATAACGCGCAGAACGGCCAGCCTGAGCGGACAATTTCTACCCCAACTCATCTAAAAAGTAGTGTCTGGAAATGGACAATCGATTGATGAATCCGAACACGGTGTTTACATGAACGATACATAAAGTAATGTGCGCGTTATGTGTCACAAGATTCAAATCGGAATTGATTTTTTTGACATGCGCACACTGCACGAATATGCCGCTGTTCGCGCAAAACTATTCTCCTCTATTGGTTCTTTATTTGTTTTAAACAGCAGACTTAATATTTATCCGTCTCTGGTCATGATTTGGAGACGATGAGCATGATTTGCCGTGCTGCTTGTTGATCACGCAGTAAAACCCCGCACCCAAAACCAGTCGTCTGTGGATGAGAATCTGAAACAAGCACTGGTGGGACGTTGTCCTGCTTAACTTCACAGTGAAATGAGATTTTTTTAATAACGGAACACTCATTTATATGACACTTTATTCAACAGGAAGAACAGCTCGCTCCGTGCGTAAAACGTCATTGCACATGCGCAGTCCTTTTAGTTTCGGTTTTCAATCCGATCAAGTGTTTACATGTTCTCTCGATCGGATTACAAAAGGAGTAAACCATCGGATCGATTAAGGTGTTTACATGAAGGTTTTTTAGTCCGATTGAGCCGTCAATCCGATTATAAGGGTCCATGCAAAGACGCGCAAATGTGTGCCAGGCACGTGTGCGCGAGCGCGTGTTCTCCACCGCGGAGAACATCGTCAATAAAAGGAGAGCCGCACTTGATCCAGATCAAGTTGATAAATTGGTGTTTCTAGCAAACAATATTAGGAAATGAATTAGGCTAGGCTATATAGGCCTTACTCCTGCTGCTGTTTAAGTTGTCACGTTATTGTTTGTGCCGTGCTGTTCCGCTTCAGTTTTTCCCCATGTAGCGCCTAATTTTGTGATTGGCTATGCATACTGGCACTTCATATAGATTAAGTTGAAAACCTGCTGTTTAAAACATTAAGTCAAAAAAAAAAAATTCAGACAGGCCTGAGTCCTGTTTATGACTGTCAGACTGTTAATAAATGTGTGATCTCCGTTACGGTGGGTTTTTTTTTTTTTTTTTGGGTGGGCGGGGCTCGTAGATATTCGAATATATTCGAATACATTGCTTGATATTCGATATCCGTTCGAATTAGATTTTTCTCAAAAGTGACAGCCCTAGTGCACATCGTTATTTTTTCAAATCCATGTCCCCTCATTATCTTTAATCAAAATAGCTTCGCCTCCCTCTTGCAGCGACATCTCTTCTCTTCTCTGATGATGCGTTTACAGGCGTGAGGGCGGGACAACCTGTCACTCACACGAGATCCACCAATAGCAAACCAGAACCATCCAACCATTCTTCCAGAATTGGAATTGATTTTCGTTTCCCAACCCTGGTAGATATACATCACAATAGGGAAGAAAAGACTATTGCAACTTCTGTTTCGCGTGACTTTGAAAGGTTAGAAAAGTCTGATTGGCATTTGTCCCTCTCTCTCCCGTCCCTCCTCATCCTCATTCATTCACAGCTGTGTTGATGCATCTGCTCTCTATTATCTGTTCTCGGATCCTGATGTGTGTGTGGGTGTCTGTGAACCCCTACCTTTCCCCCGACCAGGGGTAGGATGTGCATCTTGCCAGTCAGGCTGTCCTTGACAGAGGCCACGATAAGACAGGTCCCGCACAGGATGACCTGCCGCTCGGCCCATTTATGGAGCTGTGTCTTTCCCTTCCTGACGCTGAAAACGCCCTTCAGAAGAGTCCGCTCCTGCTGGTCTGCGTTCACCGGTTTCTCTGTACGAACACACACACAAACACACAGACACAGCAATCAACCCACTGCCACTCACAGTACAGATAGCACTTATCAAACTAAACGGGTATATTTTACCATGCAGAAATCGATGCCAAAATGCAAAGGTGACCTGTGTGGTTGTCAGCATGATTCTTTCTGTGAGTTTGCTGGGTTGATTTGTGTTTTGGGTCAATGATGTGATGTTTGTTTGAGCGCTCTCTGAGCCTCAAAGGTTTCTATGTACAGTGTGTTTTGCAAGCATTGTGAATGGCAGCCAATCACAATCATATCTGTTGAGCGCGTGAATGCAATTACCTATCAGAGGTGTTAGTCCAGAATCCGCTTAACACATCCTGATAGCAATCAATAATTGAAGTGGTCTAAATATTAAAACATGTACATCTCATGTAGAAGTCTCAGGACGAAAAAGGTTAGAATGAAATGATACGATGTCCTATCCGCCTGTCAACATATGCATTTCCATACCTTTTACAGTTCCTCCTGAACCAAAACAACGAGCTTATGCTGCGTTCATGTCATGTCGTAACAGTAATTAAGCAACGGCAACGTTCTCAGCATGACGTTCTACCCGGAGCTGTTCACGTCCTCAGACTCGGATTTATGCATTTCTATGTCAACACTATCAATGCCAAAATTAATCTGCAGCAGTCAGATGGTACAAGTAAAAGCTGTGTAAGTTGTTTACATTTATTATATTTGTAATGTTATGTGCTTAGACACATGAGGTGATTTAATTTAATTACATCTCTCATCTTGTAACGCTTTGAAAACTGCCGTTCGTGTGTTTTAAAGGAGGCGTGGCTTTGGAGGCGCTCTGAAGGGAGGGTGGGATCTCATGCTTTCAAAGCTAGCTTGCTATTGCTAGCCTCTCCGAAATTGCCTAGCCTACCTTTAACAATGAACAGGACAAAATTGGGGGGGGAATTAAAGTACTTAATTCAACAGTTTTTGCATTGGTATAGAAATTGGTACGGAGATCCATGAAATTCTACTTGTATTGGTACCAACTACTGAAATTTTGATACCGTGACAACAACACTAGTCTGAAGTAATTTTGCATACTAGTGTATGCACATGACAGAACTTCCTAAGGAGTAACTGTCTGAACATCACACCCACACACACACACACCCACACACACGTGCACATTCATTCATGTGCTAATGAAGACCATATGTAGTGTGAAGTGCGAGCCCGCTGTGGGACGTGGAAAAGGGTGAATAGGGCTGGCGGTAAACCATGTCACATGTATCGGTCAGCTCATAGTCATACACGTACACACATACTGTACACTCTCCATAGGCAGCAGCAATGTAACATTCTGGATATTAAAAAACTGTATCCTATTCCAGCTTAGTATGCTTAAGACCAGCTCTAAGTAAACCATGCGTAGGATGACCTCCTGAAGACTGTCAGCGCTCTGACACTGTGATGCTTTCAAAACATGGTTCTGTTTGTTTGAGTTGTCCGACATATCAACTTCTGACTCGAGCGCTATTTTGAGCATGAGTTTGGCTGGAAATGCCTGTAATAAGTTGTTTAGAGGAACTAGCCATGCTTAATGAATAATGTGCACATTATGCAGTACATACTGTGTGCTTCCTACTATCTTTTGTAAAAATTGTATGTGACACAGTATTCTACATTTCAATTTCAGTAATCTTTATTTCAATTACCAAAAACGATTTTAATAGTTTTAGTTGACAATAACAACATTGACTAAAGAAGAAAATCATTTGTTTTGTGAAATAATAAGTAAATGAAAATAGCAGTGCTTTATGTTTTTCAGGTCAATCTAACTGCATTCAGGTACTGACATTAAATAATCAAATGTAAAATAACACCGTATTCAAGGTATAAATTAAATATAATTAATTAATACCATTTATCTTTGTTAAAGATCTTTTAGTGCCGTCACTTTAAGACGACTGCACGGATCCAATATAATGATACACATCCGTTTTCTTTCTCAATTGTTTACAACATTTTTTACAGTCTATGTTTACAACACATAACCGACTGTTTACGAGGATACTCGCAAGATGGGCATTTTGATAAAATGGGCATTTTGCATGCACGTGTTGTGACAGGACTTAAAAATACAGGCAAATGATAAACTTTAACTCTATGAGGGTTAAACTTTGCAATTAATCCGCGAATCACATGCGTTTCAAACCGGAACCAATCAACTACGATCTCTATACTTGACATCGCACATCCTGCAATGTGACTATATCGATGCTAAAACAATATATCGTGCAGCCCTATTTGGCAATATTTTGTGATACACAGAGTGTATCTGTAGAGTACAGCTTAATATGGTAAAAAAACACAAAAAAAAACACAAATAAACAATGAAATTGCCCAGAAATGCTTTAGAAATACAGCTCAAACTATAGTTGAACACCTCAAAAGACTGTGCTCCAGATGTTCCAGTTAGCCTGATGAATTAGTCAGGCATTTGTCACATTAAACTTGCTTTGCTCCATCTAATTACATAACATACTCCTCTTCAGCTCCTATGAAGGGCACATCAAAAACAAGGACCCGGCTCGGATATGGGCCATACATACTCTCAGGTTAATTGCGGGTCAGACTAGCACAAAGGTTAGACCACGACTCTTCTTCCCTTACATCCTTCTATAACCTATAACTTCACGAGGAGCAGTCTGAGCGCTAATACAGAGAGAGTGTCTCAAGAGACTAACCACTCGCTGATGGCTCTTTGTTGGAGCTCTTTTGAGATGAGGGTCAGCGGATCAGACTCGGTGAGGGGATATGCTGTCTGGAAAGCTGCTGAGGAACAACAGACAGAGCTGACAGCCTGAGTGAGGCAGGACTCACTGTCTGATCACTGACAGCTCCAGCTCTGCTGAAGGACCACGGAGGGGCATTTCTGTGTGGGCGCGAGAGGCCAAATCCACAATGAAAGCTCTATGAGAAAATGGTGTATATCAATAGTCATATCAATAGTATATATCAATATACGTGATGGTTTTAGGGATGCACCATATATTGCCACCATATCATCAGTTATTGGGCTGAATTTTAGTAGATAGTGTTTATTTCTGCATTTTATTCTCTCCTACACTTAAAAAAAAACATAATATTAATGGTAAAAGACTAAAAAATACTACAGTAAAAACCTGTTAATTGGTTAACAGTAAGTTCCATTTATATGGTGAAAAACTGTAATAGATCAAATGAGACATTTCAATTTAAAAGTAAAATACTGCTCAATGTACAGTTTTTGGAAAATAAAAAACACAAGTCAAGTCTTATACTTTACAGGGAAAAGCATAAATTGACATTTATAATTCTCTGTGTAACAGCTCACATTTGATCGTTTTTCATTTACATAACTATGTTTTTTTTTCTTATCAGTTGTACATTAGGATTTTGTGTTATCTTATGTTGTTAAATGGATGATTATTGCATTATTTTAGTGTTATGTCGCCACAGTGTTTTGTATTTGTGTGCACTGTCTATATTTTTGTGTTAACCTCAGATTTTCAAAAAAAAAAACATTTGTGAAGAACTTTGATTCATCATGTGGCTTTATCTTTAATCACCTGTTTTTAAGGTGGTTGTCAGTATAAAAAACTATTAAAGTCCAGTATAAAAAACTATTAAAGTTTTGATTACCTTTGCTGTCATCTAACGGTCAATTAAAGTTGATGTAAACACTACATTTTTCACTGTAAAATGTCATCTTTAAATGAATTTATAAATGAATATATATTTTTCATATCCCATTAAATTCTGTGATGCCTAAAATCACTCATAACATTTAAAATGACTGATTTTTGTTTTTTTTATAGTTTTTTTTTATTTATAATTCATTCAGATAAGATAATATGGAATTTGAATATGGCCCATTTATCAGTTATTCCTGATAAATTAAAATTATAGTTGGCTGAATATCACTGCTTCCCTGTTTAAAATGCTTTAGCAAAAATACAAACAAACAAGTATTTTTATATGCATTTTTTTGTATTTATATTTTAAACTAAATTTCTTGTTCATTTTCGTGAAAACCATGCCCTTTTTATTTTACACTAGATTTTGACTGTATTTTCCATCTTGCTTTAAACATTTTAAATCTAGATTACGATTCCTTAAAAAAACATACTTATGCCATTTCAAAGCAAATACATAAATAAACAGATATTAAATTTCATCAAAACCCTGAAAAAAAAGATAGATAACTTCCAAAATCCGCATCCTGCTGTCACATGCAGACACAAAAATGTGCAATGACACCAAATCTACATCATCAAACCCATTTCCATCCAAAATCTAAGAAAATTCAAAGCCAGCCTAGTCAGCAGACTTCTGACCGCACATCTCTGCTCATTCTGCTGGATGACCACCTCCATGAGTCATAGGAATCAGTGACACGAGAGCTAATCACACACCAATGCCAAAGTGCTGACGCCAAATGAAACACCACCACAAAACACACACCACACAAACTAACCAATAACCTTCAGGCCAGTGGGAGAAGGCACTGGGATGGTTCCAGGATGACCAGCACAAGATCCAGCCCAAAAGAGAGACAGAGTAAACTCACAAAGGACTAATTCAGCAAAAGGGTCATTGCTGAAACTTCTCACTTCAAATACATCAGTATTAAGAAGAGTAAAGACTGCCGATTGTGGCTGGGATGAATCCAGACTTTAAAGTGCCCCATTATGCTTTTTTCCCCCAAATATTACCTTTCATGCAGTGTGTAATATATATGTTTGTGAATGTAAAAGTTCTGCAAAGTTTCAAAGATCAAAATGCTTGACAAGTTATTGTCTTAAAAGTCTTAATGGTCCTAAAATGATATACATATAATTCCTTTTTTTAGCCTCTTTTATCAAATCAATATCAAATCAAACATTTTGTCAGTGTTTCTGAACCGGACACTAAAGCAGATGGGTGACACATTTCTTGATTCACCTGAAACAAATGTCACGCCATATGATCGCAC